TGCTCGCAGGATCCGATGTGTCCTGCGCCGGAGACTTGCCCGTGCGTGCCTAGGAGTGTGATGGAGCCGTCGTTGAACGCCTTGGCGCCGCACGCGTGTGCACCCCGTCTCCGCCGCCCCGTGTGTGTGTGTGTGTGTGTGTGTGTGTGTGTGTGTGTGTGTGTGTGTGTGTGTGTGTGTGTGTGTGTGTGTGTGTGTGTGCGCCGGTTCCGGGAGCCCGCCACGCCCAGACGTCCTTCTTCCGCACGGGGCGCCTGTTCACACCAAGGACAAGGCCGGCCATGAATGATGAAACTCCCCACACACTCCATGGGGAGGGGCGACTCTGCCCCGTCGCAGCAGCAGTGGCCCCGCCGCCGCGGCTGTAGTAGCAGCAGCGGGTACGGGCGCGGCGGCGGCGGGCGGCGGCGGCGGCGGCGGCGGCGGGCTAGGCGAGACCCAGTAGTAGCCGGCGGCCGAGGAGGGCAACGTGGGTGTAGAGGGCGGGGAGGGCAACGAGGAAGGCGAGGACGGTGTTGGGTTGAAGAGGGACGAGACGGCCTTGGTCACGGGGTTGAAGAAGCTGGTGACCGCCTGCGCCCACACGGGTTGGCGGTGGCTCAGCCAAACAACGCCCTCAAATATGTGGCTGCCAACAAATAACAACCATTCATCAACGCGGCGCCTGCACAAAATTCTGCTGCGGCGGCGGCGGCGGCGGCGCGGGCGCCGGCGCCGGGGTGGCGGGGGACGGTGCCGGCGGCGGCGGCGGGGGCGAAAACGGGGACGGCGGTGGGCCTGGAGCCTTGCCGGGCGGGTGCGGCGGTGCAGCCGGGATGGGCCTGAAGAGGCGTACTGATTGGGTGAGATTGGGGATCGGCCCGCCCGCCGCCATCGTACTGACAGTACTGCTCGGGGGCAACTGGCCCTGGTTGGCCAGCCCAACCCGTGCCTGCTGCTTCGCCAGCTGCTGCTGCTGCTGCTGCTGCTGCTGCAGAGGGTTGAGGTGCTGGGCCGTGAGATACGGGTTCTTCTGCCATGTCGCCGGGGCCGTCGTCGCCGCTGTGGTCGGAGCAACAGCTGGCGCCGCAGGTGCCACCGCCGGTCCAGCCGGTCCAGGCGCGGGGGCCGCGGGTGGCTGTCGCGCCGCCGCCGGCGGCGGGTTGGAGCAGCACGCTTGGCAGGCGCACCCAATCTGTTCGAGGGCCGCGCAGCTTGTTGTCGACTTCAAGGCCCCGCAGGTGCTCGCTCCACACGGCGTGTCACACGCCGTTTGGACTGCGGGTGAGGTCTGCTGGAGGAGGCAAAGCAGAGTGGCCAGCATCCGTACCTGCCCAAAGGTGCCCTCAATCAAGACTCCTCGGCGGTCGCCTGGGGTGGCGTGACTGAAAAAAAGAAGGCCCATCCCCCGAAAAAAGGAAAATTCCTTGTGGCCTCCCTGCGAACGCGCACCCCCCACTCTCTTGCCCGCAACCCGATGCCAATCGTCCGGCCCGCTGGGTGCCCTTCTTACTTAGCTCCTGCCCGAGGCACCCGGACGGATCTTGCTCAAGCGTCGGAGAGATAGGCTGGAGATAGGGTGCCCACAGGGCCCCAAAAAAGAAAAGGGAGAGTCGAGACATTGAGATTGTGACTAGGAGGGAGGGACGCTGGGGATTCTCAAAGGTATACAAAACAAACGCACAGCCTACTCGCCCAAGTACTCGCTCTCTTTTATGTCCCACCATGCAGAGCGCATCTCTCTCTCTGTTGTGCGAGGCGTGAACCGCGCCATTCGCTCTCACCTGGCAACCCTGTCTGCACGTCTCGCGCGCGCGTGAACAGGGCTCCAGGCCCCAAATGGCGTGTGAGTGTTAGAGTTGTTTGGTATTGCTAAAAATCTCTCTCTCTCTCAGGTATACCCTTGGAATGGCCGGATCCAGCCTTAAAGGATTCTTTTGAATACCGAAGCAAACTGTCGCACTCTCAAAGCGGGCCAAAGGGCCCTTTGGTAGCCGCTCACACTCCACCGCCGATGCCGAGCCCGGAGCCGCACCTCTCGGGCGCCGAGCGCGCCCCGACAACAAGCTCTACCCATCGCGGCCGTGCACGCCACGCGTGACAGCGCGTACAGCTTGTGCTGCGGCCATCTCGGACGCTCAAGCGGCGCCAGCCAGCGGCTCGGCCGCGCATCCTTCACACACACCGCCACGACCAAGATTAGCGGGCCCAGTGTCGAGTCCTGGTACTAGCTGCATGTGAGGGGCGGCTGTGGCCACAGCAGGTCCAGATTGGGAAAACTCCGTGGAGATTGAACAGATCGGGAAAACTCCGTGGAAAACGTCAAATTTTGGGCTCGGAGCCGAGCGAGTCTGTCTGAGCTCTGTTGTGATTTTTAGCAATACCAAACAACTCTAACACTCACACGTCATTTGGGGCCTGGAGCCCTGTTCACGCGCGCGCGAGACGTGCAGACAGGGTTGCCAGGTGAGAGCGAATGGCGCGGTTCACGCCTCGCACAACAGAGAGAGAGATGCGCTCTGCATGGTGGGAGGTAGGTAGGTAGGTAGAAAGGTGAAGAACAGCCAGGCTCGGACTGGACACCAACGCGGTATGGGTGGACGCTAGACAGATGATGACGGCACGCGGATCGCGGTGGGACATAAAAGAAAACAATACCAAAAGAAAGCGAGTACTTGGGCGAGTAGGCCGTGCGGTCGACGCTGCCGCGCGCGGCTTTGCGCGCGAGGCGGCGCAGCTTGAGAACGGCGGTGGGCGAGAAGCCGCCGCCGAACGTCTCGTGGAGCAGCAGGTTGAAGTTGTTGCGCTTGACAAAGTCAAAGATCGCGTCGTGGTAGAAACCGCGATGCGCCTTCATGACGTAGCCGTGGCGTTTGAGCTCTGTCTGTCCTCTGAGGCTGGTTTGGGCCCAAAATCAGCCAAATCGGCAAAATACCGGGAATTTTGCGGAGAACCCGTGTATAACGGGAAATTACCCTGCGACCGCCTGGGGATTTTGTCGGTTGACGTGCGCGCCACGCTTCAGGAGGAGCTCGACAATCTGCGCGTGCCCCTCCTGTGCGGCGAGCATCAGCAGGGTGCGTGAGTCTGGCCGTACTTAGACTCAACGTCGAAGAGCGTGTCCGCCTTCCCGCCTTCATTCAGCCACAATCGCAGCGGTCCCTCGCGGCCGTCCGCAGCCGCCTTCAGGACGTTGTTTGGGACTTGACCACCCGGCGCGCTGCCAGCAGGCGGCGGCGGCGGAGGTGGCGTGCGGAGTGCGGCGGAGGCGCGGGAGGGGAGGGCGGCTTGACGTCTTTTTCAATGTACGTACTTTTAGCTTACTGGGACAAAAGGGAGAGGGGGTTGTGTTCTCTGTGTGTCAATGTATGTGGCTCTTACGTACATTCCCGGAGGAGGACTGCTGACAGGGGTTTGCGATGAGGAGTGACCCGAAGGGTTTCTCGGGGTTACACCACTAACCGCCTCTGCAAGAGCACTACGCCTCAGCGGGCTCATACTAGCACCCAGAGGGCCCAACTTGAGAATCGTGCTAATTTGGGTTAGGGATGAAGGCGAAGGACCGACGACGGTGAAGGACCGCAGGTTAGGGACCGATCGCCGCCGCTCACGCCAGCGGACGGTCGTCGTCAGTGATGTTAGCTACGCCACCGCCTACCTCGTGCGACATGCGCTCGCCGGCATCGAGCGAGCAACGTGATCGACCGAGCGGCTTGCTGTGCGGACGGCTTCTTGTGGCTCTCGTCGAGAGCGTTTTGCGGCCCGGCGGGTGGGAGAACATGTGTCGTCTGATGTGTCACTGTGTACGTCATATCAGTCTTGATAACAAGTACGGTCGATCCGTCAAAGCGATACACTCGTCACGATCACGTTGGACGGCTGGCACGGAGCTCTGTGCCGGCACACACAGGAAGAGCTGTACGGCAAGAAGAGCTCGATGGGGAGCGAGAACCGTCAGAGGAGGTTCAGGGGCAACCTGAGTCCTCCGTGACGCGCTCAATCGCTCCCAAGCGGGTGGCTCTCGAAAATCGTCGATATCTTCCGAAAAGACTGCTCTTGCCGCAGAGCAGCCGACGCGATGCAGACGGAGGCGCAGAAAGGCTACGAGTACTCAACGAGTTCCGCGACCTACGCAGTCAAACCTGGGGGGAACTGACCGCATCAAGGCGGACTTCCGAAACCTGGGTGAGCACCTTTGGCGATTCTCGCTCCCCATCGAGCTCTTCTTGCCGTCGGCTCTTCCTGACTTCCTGTGTGCCGGCACAGAGCTCCGTGCAAGCCGTTGAACGTGATCGTGACGAGTGTATCGCTTGACGGATCGACCGTATTTGTTATCCACATCGATGTGACGCACACAGTGACACATCAGACGACACATTCTCCCACCCGCCGGGACGCAAAACGCTCTCGACGAGAGCCACAAGAAGCCGTCCGCACAGCAAGCCGCTCCTCGGACAGGCGAGCTCGCTCGATGTCGGCGAGCGCATTGCGCACGCTTTGGACGGTGGCGAAGCCAAAAACACCGATGGTGGCCGTCCGCTGGCGTGAGCGGTGGCGATCGGTCCCTAACCTGTCGCCCGCGGTCCCTAACCCAAAAGTGGTCCTTCGCGCTTTGGTCCCTAATCAAAAAGCACGATTCTCAAGTTGTCACCCACCTCGCGAGCCGACTGGCTCAACGAGGCTGCTGCTGGCACTCGGGGCCGACTTTCTGGCCCAGCGAGGCCGCTGCGGGGCACACGGCGGCACGGGTCACCCGTCGACTTTCACGTGCGGAAATTCTTTTTCTGCTGTTTTTTGCTGTTTTTCTCCGCCCATCGCTTCGCCCGATGGTGCGGGAGGTCATCACTGTGCAGGTCGGGCAGTGCGGCAACCAGGTCGGCTCCCGCTTCTGGGACCTCGCGCTGCGCGAGCACGCCGCGTGGTCGAGCGGCATCGCGGCGTACGACGAGCCGATGTCCACCTTCTTCAGGCACGTCGACGCGAGGAGCGGAGCACCCCTTGCGCTCGGCGACGGCACTGTGCCGATCTCGAGCCTGCGCGCGCGCGCCGTCATGGTCGACACCGAGGAGGGCGTCGTCTCGCAGGTCCTCCGCTCGCCACTCGCAGAGCTCTTTGACCGCTCGCAGGTCCTCGCCGACGTCTCTGGAGCGGGCAACAACTGGGCGCACGGGCACGAGCATTACGGTCCGCTGCACCGCGACGGGCTGCTCGAGCGCGTCCGCCGCGCCGCGTCGCACTGCGACTCCCTCCAGGCCTCCCTCGCCCACTCGTGATGGGGCGGAATGGCTGGACACAGCGTCAGTCCGGTCCGGTGCCTGCAGGCCTTCTCCCTGCTCCACTCCATGGGCGGAGGCACAGGCTCGGGGCTGGGCTCGTACGTGCTGGAGGCGCTCGCCGACGAGTACCCGAGGACCATCCGCTTCGCGACCGCGGTCTTCCCCTCGGAGAGCGACGACGTCGTCACGTCGCCGTACAACACTGTGCTCGCCGCCGCCGAGCTGGCCGAGCACGCCACGGTGGCGATGCCGCTGCAGAACGCTGCCCTCGCAGCCATGGTGGACCATGCGGAAGGCGGCGCCACGCCGCATGCGGCTTCCGGCGGCGACGGGCGCGGCGGCGGCAGCGGCGGCAGAGGAGGCGGCGGCGGCGGCGGCGGCGGCGGAGGCGGCGGCGGAGGGTCGCGGCGAGAGTCGCTGGCGAGCAACGGGCCTGCGTCGCGCGCGCGCGCCTTTGACGGCATGAACAACCTCGTGGCGCACATGCTGACCTCGCTCACCGCCTCGGTCCGCTTGCTGCCCCACAGTAGCACTCGCATGAAGAGACGTCACACTACACCATGTCGTGTCATGGCGACCTGTGGTGTCAGATCACATCCTGTTCCCTGTTCAGGTCCGCTTTCCTGGCGCGCTCAACACTGACCTCGCCGACCTCAGCTCCAACCTGGTGCCTTGCCCTCTCCGTCTCGGCTACATCTCGGCTACATCTCGGCGTATCTCGGCTGTTACATCTCGGCCGCATCTCGCCTGCATCTCGCCTGCATCTCGCCTGCATCTCGGCCGCATCTCGTCTGCATCTCCGCGCATCTCGGCTGTCTCTCGGCTGCCTCTCGGCTACATCTCCGCGCATCTCGGCTGTCTCTCGGCTGCCTCTCGGCTACATCTCCGCGCATCTCGGCTGTCTCTCGGCTGCAGGTGCCCTACCCGCGCATGCAGTTCGTGCTGCCCGCCCTCGCTCCGCTCTACTCGACCGCCGCCGCGCGGTACGCCCGACATCAGCCGACATCACCCGACAACACCCGAGATCACCCGAGATCACCCGAGATCACCCGAGATCACCCGAGATCACCCCAGATCACCCCAGATCACCCGAGATCACCCCAGATCACGCGAGATCACGCGAGATCACGCGAGATCACGCGAGATCACGCGAGATCACTCCGCCAGGTACGCGCCGGTCAACTTGGACGCACTCCTGACCGAGGCGCTCGCGCCACATGCGCAGCTGAGCGGCGCAGACCCACGCAAGGGCGCGCTGCCGAGATGCAGCCCGAGATGCAGCCGAGAGACAGCCGAGAGACAGCCGAGACGCAGCCGAGACGCAGCCGAGAGGCAGCCGAGAGGCAGCCGAGAGGCAGCCGAGTTGCAGTCGAGATGTGCCGATTTGCGCAAGGGCTCGCGCTGTGAGTGCGCGCCCCTCCTGCTGCGCCACAGCCCCCCCCCCCCCCCCCCGCCTCGCCGTCACACGAAAGCACAACCCCCCGGGGGCCCAGATCGCACGCCGCGGACAGTCGAGAGAGCGGGCAGACAGGCAGAGAGCGGCTAGTCAGACACCCTCGCCGTCACGCGAGTCGAGCGACTCTTCATCTCTTCTGCACACCCCTCCCGGCGGGAGAACCATATACCTTAAGGTAGGCACGCACCTCGCCTCCGCCTTTCTTCTCCGCGGCGACGCGACACCGTGCGGACGCCACAGCGCCGCCGCACAGCGAGCCCGCAGGGGGCGACTTCATTTCGTTAGGCGACGACGCCAACTCATTCGTGTTCTGGCCCCTCTAACATCGGCTCCACTTCATTGGCGTGATGTTCCGTTCCGCCAGGCGACGCGACCGCGTCGGACGCGCAGCGCTCTCTGCAGCGCCTCAAGCCGCAGCTGTCGGTGGCGTGGTGGAACCCGGACGCCTTCAAGATCGGCGCGAGATCACGCCGAGATCCAGCCGAGATCCAGCCGAGATCCGGCCGGTGTGGTGGAGTTGGCGCGACTCTTCACACCGCCGCCCTGTGAACAGGTCTCTGCGCCGCGCCGCCCTGTGAACAGGTCTCTGCGCCGCGCCGCCCGTCGGCCAGCCGCACGCGCTCCTCTCGCTCTGCAACTCGACTGCGTTCGCGCCGCTGCTGCAGGCGATCTGCATCCAATGCCGCAGTGCCGCGCGGGCAGAGGGGGCGTGGAGATGGGAGGGGGGCAGCTTGGCCCTTGATCCACACCGCGCCATGCGGGGTGGCTGACCCCCCCCCTCCCCCTCGCCCGCCCGCCGCAGGGCCTGCTGGCCCGCTTCGACAAGCTCTACTCGCGCCGCGCCCACCTGCACCACTTCACCCAGTACATGGACGCCGCCCGGATCGACGAGGCGCGCGACGCCCTCGCCGCGCTCGCCGCCGAGTACGGCGAGCTCCACGGCCAGCCGCCGCCGCCCGAGGCGGAGGCGCTCATGGAGCAGCTCGTGCCGCCGCCGGCCGGCTGGGGGTGGGAGGCGGGCGCGAGGAGGAGGTCACTCGGCGGGTTGAGGTGACACCCGGGTGCCCGCATGACATTTTGTGCGTGTGCGAATACGGAATAGCATCGGCAGTATATTCTAGTATGGAGCCGAGTTCTTTTTGCGGCCTAGCCCGCTAGCGGCTCTCCGACTCCGTCACCGTCTCCCTGCCTCTCTCTCCCGGCTCGGTCTCTGCTCATATATAAGTCATGAAATCGGCTCTCTCTCTCTCACGAGTACTCCTCTACTCACGTCTCAGGGCAGGGGAAAATACTGAAAAATGGGACCCCCGCGTACGGACCTCGCTTTCATACCGAGCGTGAAGAGCTGAGTCTGAGCTTTCAGACCCTGCAAAAATCATTGAAAAATATTAAGATCATCTGGGGGGGCGACGCCCCCCCATCTTTGTTTACCGATGCGTCCTAGAATGCAAAAATATTAAGAGCCAATGCCGATGGTCCAGAGGATGGTGACCGAAAGAGGGCAGTCTGACCCCTCCCCCCCCGTACTGTGCTGCATGAATGGTTGGGCAGGTGTGAACAACACCTCGTGCCACGGCGCGCAGGCGCCTGTTGATGGGTCCAGGTGATAGCCCTGGATGGGCAATGCATACGCCTAGTTGGGCCTCAGATCGCCCGACCGCGTCCCGGTGCTCTGTGGTCGGATTTGTGACGCCGCCGCACCGCGCCGCGGCCGGGGGCCCTCCGGAGGCCGAGGATGGCCGTGGCGGACCGGGACGAGCTCTGGGAGGTTCAGTGTCAGTGTATATATTGTAGAGACTGACCATGTTCACAATATCTCTCAGTCTACTGTCTAGCTGAGCCAGGGGAGGCGATGCCGGGGCCGTACAGCAGCTTGATGGTGTTTCGCCGGCGTGCGTCCCGGAGCGGTGCCGGACGGGCGGTCCGTGGGAGGAAAACTCAGGACAACGCCGACACTGCTCTGATTCGACTTTTTACTTCAAACAAAGACGGCGGCACGTTCCGCGCCGTGGCGCGTGCCGCGCGTGCATCGGAGAAGGGTAGTGCGTCGTGTTCACGCCGGGATCGTGTCCTGAGTAACGACTCTCTCTCTCTCTCACTCTCCTGAGTAACCTGCCCAACCATTCCTCCAGCCGAGTACCGGGTACCCGGGTAGGCACTTCAGCTGGCAGGGGGTCGCACACATTCCCATGACCCTTCGCCTCTCCATCGACGGCAACGAGCACCAGGTCTGGCCCCTATCTGCACCGGACCCCGAATCGTCCACGCTGACACTCGACGTCTCGCGTTTCATGCCCGCTCGCGGCACTGCCGCCGCCAGCATCGGATCACGAGCGATGGAGCACTTGAGGCTCGCCTGGCAGTCGACTTTGAAGCCGGTGCTCGAATCCGTTGGTGCCGAGGCATCAATCGAGCGCGATCAGTATCGATGAAGCCACACTGTTGACGCTTGTGGGTGCCGCAGCCGAGTCTCTGCGACTGTCTTGAGCACAGTGTGGGGAAACAGAGCAAGCACGCTTCAGCAGTCGGCACCCGCATCATGTGGCGTCTGAGGACTCGAACGTGTTGCCAGACAGCGCGGCGATGCCCGCCCTGCTATCCGTGGTGCTCTCCGCTGCGTGTCGTGTGTGGCGGTTTGGTTGTGCTGTGCCGCTTTAGCTGTGTCGCTGTGCCTGTGGCCGTGTATATGCCCTCTGCGGCTCTCGTCTCTCTGCGTGTGTCGCGGCTCGGCCATCTCTTCTCTCCGACCAAAAAAGGCAGAACACACACAGAGGAGGCTACGTCCTCCTCCCGCATTCTCCCTCGCTCGATGCCGCTCCTCCGTCGAAGCGACCGCGCAGGAAGCGCACGGCGCCCGCCCCCAGCGCCGGCGGCTGCACGTGGCAGCCCCGCCACCACGGCGCTGGGCGCCACCACGGCCGCCGCGGCGGCGGCCCTCCTCCTCTCGAAGTGTCCGGCGAGCCAGAGCGTCCCCTTGCCGGGCATGTCGCCCGCGTGCCGCTCGCATCAAACACAACCAGGTTGGGCACCACCCGCCGGTTGACGCGGACGACCGCCGCGTAGATGCGCACACGTCCGGCACGACCTGCTGCAGACCGACGTACACCGAGAGCGCCTCGAAGGGCTTGCGCCTATGGGAGAGTGCCGAGAAGGTGCCAAGAAGGTGCCGATGCCGAGAAGCCGCCTCAAAGGGCAAGCGCGCCGTCGCGGGGCAGTCCGGGTCGAGCCGGACGAGCCGCGCGCAGTAGTGGCGGCCGCCAACCTTGTCGACGGAGATGGTCTGGCTGTAGCTCATCGGGCCGGTGCGGCTCCGAGTCACACGGACGGACCGCAGCTCGATGTCCTGGCGGTAGTACCTGCCGCACTCCGGCGACGCCGCTCACGAGAAGGCCACGCGAGAGACCTTGTCGGCGTTTTCCACTCCTTTTGGAGCGAGCCGGTCAGGTACGCGCGCAGCACCTCCTCCGCCGTGCACACCGGCGCAAGCTGCTCCGACTCGGCCAGCACCCAGTCGCCGCCCAGCCGCGTCGAGCAGACAAGCCCCCGCCGGCCGTCGCTCGCCTCGTGCGGCCGAAACGAGCGGCGGGGGCGGCATCCGTAGCACTAGCCGTCTTCCACATGGACGGTCCCCCTCGGGTCCCTGCTGCTCTTAATCTCTTCGTACATCCTCCTGCTGATCTCCGCAACGTCCTGCTCCCTCCCTCGTCTCGCCCTGCGCGTCTGCTCTGCCTCCCCGTCGTCTGCCCTGCGTCGTCTCTGGCGACGGGGGGTGTCCGCTGACCGCTCTTCATTTACACCAAGACCCCATAGTCCACACGGCTTTATAGTGGTAATTAATTTAGTCGGTTGAGCTTGAGGTCGCCCGCGCCCCCCGGCCCCCGCCCTCCTCGTGCGACGTGCCTCACCCTCTTCCTAGGCCTCCTCGTCTTTTCCCATATCCTCCCACCAACAAGCAACATTCCCTCGCCCCTCGGCGTGGAAGGTGAGAGAGCGCGAGGGGAAAAAGAATTTCGGGGGGGGGGGGGTGCGCGATTTACGTTCAAAATTTCGCAAGTCCTCATGCACATGCACCAGGGCGCAGGGGGGTGCGGGCAGCGGGAGGGCCGCCACAAACTGACTGACGACGCGTCATAAGTGTGCACACATCGCACGCACACACGAATAGCCTCCGAAAGAGGGAGGGCAGCATGCGGTGCAGCCAGCCCACCTTCTCTGGTGCGTGCACTCACACACCGCCTCCTAGTAAAAGACGCGTCCCAGCGCGGCGCAGGAGGGGCTGAGTGGGCGCCCTGCAGCCGTCTCTGCCCCCCCCCCCCCCGTCGAGCGCGGCGCGGGCGCGGCGTCTGCGGCTAGGACTGGGGCTCACATTTCGTTAAGGTGGATGTAGCAGGGGAACTCCACCGGCGCCAGGTTGACGATGCGCACGGTGTTGCCGGGGTCGGGCGTGTCAAAGCAGACAGAGAGCGAGTTGAGCTCGCCATTGTTGGTGAAGACCTCGAAGGTCTGCTTGGGGTTGTTGGGCGCGTTGAGCAGCTCGACGCGCGCGTTCAGCTGCTTCCCGTCCGTGTTCAGCACAACCTCCAGCTTCTCCGAGCCAGCGTCGAGGGGGAAGGAGCGCAGCGCGCCGCCATCGACGCGCTCGCCGTGGGCGGCCGGCGGGTCGGCCTTGGAGGCCATGGAGGCATCGGCGTAGTTGGCGGCGGCGCTGAAGGGGAACTCGTACTCGCCCACGTTGCGCACCTCGATCATCGCGGCCTTGTTGCGGGTGCCAATCAGCGCCTGGATCGGGCGCTCCTTGCCGTCCTCGCTGTACGCCTTGAGCGTGAAGGGGGTCCAGTCGGGGCCGATCCAGAGCTGGATGTCCGCCTTCACCGGGCGCCCCTCGCTCTTCACCGCCACTTGCACCCGATCCTTGGACAGGTCGTTGAAGGTCCAGGTTTTGCGGGTCTTGCCCTCGACCCGCTGCTCCAGCGTGCCGTCAGGGGTGATGGTCTTCATGTCCCAGCCCATGACGGGGCTCGCGCCCATGCGGGCCGGCGACCTGGCCCGCACCCCGCCCAGCGTGTACGCGTTCGGCAGCGCGAGCAGCGAGAGCATGGCAGCTGTGGGGAGATGGAGCTTCGATGGGAGCTCAAGCGAGGCAGCGCCGTTTCTTTTTGAGCTAGCACGCGCCAGTTCGCACCTGTGTCGAGCCTGTCTGCTGTGAGAGAGAGTTGTTTTGTTTAAATTCTTTTTGAGCTTAGCCTTCGATGTTATGAAACAACGCAAGGCGGACATGGCATATCGCTCTCGGGCCCACAGACATCCCGCACACTCGCCGCACACCCGCCGCCCCCGCGCGCGCCCCACCCCGGCCGGGAGAGAGGGGAGTGACAGTTTGGGACGGCGACAGCCCGAGTATGTTGAGTCCTGGCTCAACAACGCAGATAACAGAGGGTTTTTGCTAAGGTTCCACACGCCTCCCACACGGAGGTTCCACACGTGGGAGCCGGGACTCGCTGTGTGGGAGCCTCACGACCACACACCTACACGCTCAATCCGTGGGACCCACCGACACCGAGCATGACGGTGTGGGTCTGCGCCCCCGGCCGCCAGCCATCCCCGATGGACCCCCCGCGCCCACTCCGCGCTCGGCAGCGCCTCTCATCTCACCGAACCGTCCGGCCGCCGCCCGGCTGCCGACAGGATCCCATCGACGGAGGCCGCGAGGAGAAGCAGATCGCCGTCGCCGCCGCCGCCGCTGTCGCCGCCGCCGTCCAGCCCGCCGCCGCTGTCACCGCCTCCCCCCTCGCCGCCGCCGTCCTTGCCGCCGCCGCCCTCGCCGCCGCCGTGTAGCCCGCCGCTTCCCTCGCCGCCTCCACCGTCGCTGCCCTCACCGAGCCCGCCGCCGCCGCCGCCGCCGTCGTCGTCGTCGTCGCCGCCGCCCAGCCCGCCGCCGCGCAGCCCGCCGCCGCCGTCGTGGCCTCCCCCTCTCGCCGCCGCCGCCGCCCTTGCCGCCGCAGCCCTCGCCGCCGCAGCCCTCACCGCCGCAGCCCTCACCGCCGCAGCCCTCACCGCCGCCACCCTCACCGCCGCCGCCCCGCCGCCTCCACCGTCGCCGCCCCCACCGAGCCCGCCTCCTCCGCCGCCGCCGCCGCCCTCGCCGCCGCCTTATTCGCTGCTGCCGCCCTTACCACCGCCACCGTCGCCGCCGCCGCCCGGCCCGCTGCCGCCGTCGCCGTCGCCCCGACGGCGGAAGGCCGCAGCGGCGGCTCCGTCGCCCACAGCCACACGCGTATGAGGCGGAGCTCGATGCGGCGGCTGAGCTGGAGGCGGAGGACACCCACCTGGGTTGCCATCCCTCAACACAAGTGGCCCACCCTTCACATTTTGTCGCGCTCCGGGGCGGGGCGGGCGGGTGGCGGGACGGGGCACGGGCTCGCACGCAAATGGCTCTCTCGCACCACCTCATAACACGCGCACGGTGGCAGAGGACGCGTGCTAATCACTCCTCCTCGCCCTCCTCTGTTTGCTTTTTCGCGGCGAGCTAACGCATCTTGTTTTGCAGTTTTTCTATGCCGAACTATTGTCTATTCACTTTGAAAATCGATCCACGGGACCCCGACCGACGTAGAAAGAAAAGTGCGAAAATTGCCCAAGACATATCCGGTGTGGGTGGCGTGTGTGGGAGGCCGTTAGCAAAAACCCCTTTTCACCTGACCGCTGAGCTACGTGTGGGACGATGCTGTGGAACCTGATCTACACCTTAGCAAAAACCCCCCAACAAGAGGGGGTGGTCCGGCTCCCAAGTCCGGCTCACGCGCCTCGAGCTGACCATCTACCGCACTGAGCACTTCCGCCCCCTCGCTCCCAACCCACCCACCTCGCCGACCGCAGAACCGCGCGATCTCGGGCGATCTCGGGCCGCGCCGCGCGATCTCGGGCGATCTCGCGCTATCTCGGTGCTCCACGCCACGCCGCCCCCCCCCCCCACCCCCCACCCCACCTCACCCACCGCCGCGCCGCGCTATCTCGGGCGATCTCGGAGCGTCGCTCGCGCGGCGTCGTTTCTTTTTTGCCGATCCGCCTTTTTTCCTTTGAGCTTAGCCTTCGATGTTATGAAACAACGCAAGGCGGACATTTTTCCTTTCCTTTCTTTCTTGTTCGTAAGAGCCACGTCTAGACGTACACTGAAAACGTAAGAGCCACATACACTGGAGAGAGAGAGAGAGATTCTCCCAGTAAGCTAAAAGTACATACACATACACTGGAGAGAGACACTGGTACGTACACTGGAAAAGTAATTCGCCTGGACGCACGCAACATCAAGTTCCACATATGCAAGCGTCGTCGACCACTCCTGGGGAGGTCGCTAGTCGCGCTCCAAGTGCTCCAAGTGCCTCACAGGGCGCCCCGCCGAGCGCCACGTGCACGCTCATCAACGCCTTTTCGGTCGAGCCGAGCACAGTGCGTCGTGGCCCTGCACACCTGCCACCGCCAACCCTCACGCAGCACCGCCTTTCTCCCTCACACTTGCGTCACCCATCCCTGCCTTGAAGGAGGCGTACTCTGGCCCGTCGCCGCCGTGCGGCACTGGGATGCGCAGAGCTCTAGCTCGCGTGGAGATCGAGGAGTACGGCCTCGCGCTCACGGTGGCGCCGTCGGTGGCAGTGCCCAGTGGATATGGGCTCTTTGCGGAGCTGCTGCCGGGTGTGGACGAGGCGACGGTGCCGGCGGCGACCCCGCTCACGCCACTCGGAGGTTACGGCGATGGACGCCTCTCCAACTCGCTCAACGAGGAACATCCGAGCGCAGACCGCGCAGTGGCGTTTGCCCTGAGCTCAGAGGCGAGCGTCCTGCACGGCGGCATCTTTTGCCAGCTCAACGGACTGCTCGCGCCGGGCCAGCACGCCGGGGTGACATCCAGATGCGGGGTTGTGCGGGCGGCCGCGCGAGGAGAGACGTCAGCGGCGTGCACAAAGGTGCGCTCTCTCGCTCGCCGCCTCGCCGCCACGACTATGCCGCACGTGCCCTCGCCGTGCCGCAGGTCTGGGCCGAGCGGGCGCACGGCGCGAGATCTCTCGCGGCACACAAGGTGCACAGAGAGGCAGACGGCGAGGTCGAGGTGGATAGCGGGTGTGCGAGAGCTCCGCCCACGTCAGAGCCGCTTCCGCCCCGCCCAAAAAGAGCCGTGATGGGCCTCTAGGCCAAGCCCGCCCTACTTTATCCCAGCGCAAGTGGCAGCCAAGGATGCGAGCGGGCGCAACATCGGGCAGTTTGCCAACGATTTGGCCGTCGGCGCCGACGTGCCCAGCGACCAGGACTACGAGGCGGTGTCGGAAGCTGTCAATGTCCTCGCCTTGCAGTGGCACCTCGCCTCCGCGCCCGACGGACGCCTCGAGCCCGTCACGCCCGTCTCCATCTTCCTGAGCACGACGACGTTCCGCAACCGGGAGCCGATGGAGCTGGGCTGCAGGTACGGCCGCCGCTTCTGGGCGGAGTGACAGTGCGGAGCGGCAGCGCCGTGGGGGCGCATGGCGCATGGCGCATCCGGCGCCCCCCAGGCGCACAGGCCCAGCGAGCAGCGTACGTGAAGCAGTATCGCCCGCGCGGCCGGTGTCGTGGTCGCGGCGTTCGGCAGGGCGGTTTTGCACTGACTGGTGTGCCGTGTGCGCGATTAAATCGAATCTCGTTTGCAGGCCTGCTCGGGCTATATCATCATACACAAAATAATGGGGTGTGCTCACAGGCAACAGTCGCGCAGCCGCAGGCCGCGCAGGAGTGGGAAGAGAAGTGTCGCTCTGCCGGCGCGGTCGTCGCACGGCGGCATCAAATGACTCTCACTCGGTCTTTGACCGGCCGCCCTCCATCGTGTCACTCTCCCGCTGCTTTCTCAACCAGTCGTAGTACGCCGCGTTCTCGTTCGTCGGGTCCTGCACCCTCTCGTTCCCATCGCAGCAGCCGCACGCGAGGCAGCAGACAGAGGTGATCATCACGCCAAAGAGGGTGAGGACGAGGCCGGCGATCGCCAGGAAGGGGCTCGAGCTGCCGCTGATGAACTCGCGGAAGCCCTGCCGCGGCTTTGGCGGAGGCACCGTGGTCGGGTCGAACAGCGGCGCGCTCCTCCACCCGTGGTGCGCAAAGGCGGCGAGTGAACCCTCGTCGCGGCCGCCGGTGTGCTTGCGCAGCTCCTTGCCGCCCTTGTCGGCGAATATCAGCGTCGGGAATGCGCGCACGCCAAAGGAGGTGCACAGCGCCTGGTTCTTTGTGCAGTCGACCCGCGCGATGGTCGTCCCGCTCAGCTCCTCGCGCTCGGCCAGCCCTTCCCAGATGGGCGCAAGCCGCTTGCAGTGCCCGCACCTACGCCGGGATCAGCCCGGGTGAATGGGCGAGACCGGCGAGCGGTGGCGAACGGCGGTGTGGCGGCAGCGGGCACCACGGCGCGAAGAACTTGATAAAGGCGCGCTGGCGCTTGAGCGACTGGTCGACGCTGTCACTGTCGAGATCCACCACGGCAGAGGCTGCAGCGCACGGCAAGAGGACCAAGAGGCTGGGTAGCATGGCGCGGCGCCGGTGTCTCGTGAGCGCGCAGGGCCTGACTGCGACCACCACGCCGTTGTGGCGACCACGCTTGTTTCTTTTGTGGTGTAAAATTCTTTTGTTTGAAAGGCCTCATTAGCCTCCGTTCGCTCCCTCCCGCTTGGCGCCCATCCCACCCTCCGCCCTCGCCCTCCGCCCCTGCCCTGGCTGGCCTGGGTGGCAACTCCTCATCATCACGCGCCAAGCGGGAGGGAAGTGGATGGGGCCCTGAGCCGACCTAGCCCCAAACGGAACGGGGCGCCCAGCACGTGCCGGATTACTGTGCCTTCCCCGGGTGCAGCCTTTCGGTTCGTGAAGGGTCGGTGCGAGTCGTGCTTTCCTCGATCCCCCGCCCTCCCCGCCATCTCCGCCGCTTTGGCTCTACAGCCTTACCACCGCGCACCGGGAGGCGGCGAGGCGAAATCAGACTCGGTCGAGAGACCCCAGATTGGCATCCATGCCTCTCTGGACAGGGTGGCCCGCCACAACGACCCCTGGAATTGCGACTCGCCGCTTTCCTCCCGCTGTGATTCTGTGTGAGCTCTGTGTCTTGATTTGCCAACAACATACCTAAACTCAGAGGCGGGCTGGGGCTGGTCGTGCGGAGGTGCGGTGGCGGAGGCCGGCGGGCGCAGGAGCAGCGGCGTGCCGCTTCGCTCGAGTGAGTGCTCGAGGAAAATGAATTTTACGGCGCACGGCACTGTCACACAGGTACAACGGGAGCCGCCTATGCGCCTAAGCGACTCCTGTGAGGACGGCGAGTGGGAGTGCGTGTCCCCGGAGAGCACCTTGCGCCGCTTTCCTCCCACTGTGAATTTGGCATGTCTCTACTCTCCCCTCGAAGCGGTCCTCTCAAAAGTGTCGCCACCAAAGCGCCCGCCGGCGTGTGCCAGCTTCTTGCAGTTGCAGCTTCAACCGCCCGCTCGTTTTCTGGATCCGCGCGAGCGCGAGCGGCGGCGCGAGCGCCTTCCCGCCCTGCTCACGCGGCCGATGCTGACACTACGTGAGCCTCATTACTGAGTAGGCATTTAGCGATCGATGGCAGCAATGACGCTCATGCTGGCTCGATTCTTGGCGCTCTTGGCCCTCACGCTGCTCGGGTGCACGGGTGGCGCCGTGCCAGTGGATGCCCAGGTGCTCTGCCTCCCCATTCACTCCCCCACCGGTGTCGGGCCACTCCCCTCACTCCCATGTCTAGCTTATCCACCGGGCTCCTCCTCCTCATAACCTCCACGTCCGCGCGCGACAGCCACGCATGGGTCTTGAGTTTGGTTCGGCACCGAGCTCGGACTCGCATTTACCGGGCGTGGGGGTGGACAGCATCGAAGCGCTCTACCGTAACCGCCTCTTCGCTAATGCCTTGCTGGGCGGCGACTCGCTGGGCGACTCGCTGATCACCTCCACGCCCATTCCAATGAAGGGAGCGGGCAACTGCCAACTCGGGGCAGCGTATCAACCAGGCACTGGATGTGGCGGCCCGAACCAGTCGCCACCATTGATCATGCCATCACCCTGTCCTACTACGCCAGCAACAACTACACAGGCCTGTCAAGGCAATATCGTACCAGAAGGAGATGATGTCGCTGGCTATGCGAAAAGGACTACAGTGGTTATTGCCTCGTCTTCGGACTTCAGCACGTCAGTCCATGCCGCGGCAAAGGCCTCAGCATCAGGTTATGGCATCGAAGCGAGTGGCGCAATGTCCCAAGTTACACAAGGCGACCTTTCCACACAAAGTGGTGGTGTGTACCTCCAAGCCTATTCAAATGAAGTGGGCACAAAGAGTCTATTTCACTATCAAGCTTCGGAGATGGAGCCGGCAGCCATTGCCGCTTTCAAAGCAGGCCCAGAATCGTGGTCAAGAATGAATTATCCCGTGTATTTTGTGACACACCTCCTGTACGGCGGCTACTTCAACGGCGGCTACACCTTCACTTCTAAGACGACAAGCTCTAACAGCGCTTTCGATGCCGCAGCATCGATTTCGGGAAGTGGCTGGGGCGTTTCGGCAAGTGCGCAAGCCAATTACCAAAGTACCAGAACCGAATACCAGGACTCCGTTAGTCTCACTACAATGGTCGAGTGCAGTCCGGCTGGGTGCCTAGACCTGTCGTCATCGAATCTGCAGAACGGGGTGCCATCCACCACAGCTGTCTTGCCTGCTGCGATTCAGGACTCTTACATCAACTGGTACAATGGGCTCAAAGGCGGTCAGCAGGTTTCAGCGATTCGTGTGGCGTCCCTCGCCGATACTGAGGCCTTTGCCGAGCTGCGCCAGGAGGCACTCTCACCAAACAATTCTTGGGGCTGGACAGAATCATCGATCGATTCCTTGTTTCAGCTCCCTACTGCGAGCTTCATGCAGGCTTGGGTGGCAGCTAGCGTTGAGGCACAAGGCCAACACAATGCGATTGAAGGCGCGGTCCAGGCAACAAGAAGCTGCGCAAAAAAGGTTCACGAAACCCTACGTACCCAAGCGGCTCAAATGGGAATTCAGATCGGGATCATCAACAGCAAGGAGAACCTCCAGTACTATCAGACGCAGCAGAGCGTGTACCTGGGCCCGAATGGCGCTGATGAATGGGCGTGGAGTGCGATTAAAACACTGTACAATGAGGCGCAGAGTAATATCGCCAATGTTTCCGACATGTGCAACTTCTCCCCACCTCCGCCTCCGTCACCATCGTCGCCACCGCCTCCGCCACCGTCGCCACCACCGACATTCCCCAACGATGGGTGTCCCGTGGGCTATACTGCTCGAAAGTACGGCACCAACTGGTTCTTCTGCTACGACAAAGACAACAATAAGTGCTCCATGGTAGGGTCTGGCGTTCCTGCACCGAAGACGCAGTCTGGTTTACAAGGTATATGGGGAGCCCCTAATGGTGACTGGAGCTCCAGCTGGGGCACCTTCCTGACAGGTTCCCAACGACGGCTGTGTTATCCCTATCAGGGGGCGTGCACCCACGACTTTGGTAAAACGAAGGCCTGTTGTGGACAAACATATCATGGTGACGACAGTCGCCAGATTTACCAATGCCCGCCTAGCCACCCAAAATGCATGAGCTACCGCAGTGACGTTGGACCGAACGGCTTTGGCGTATGTTTCGCTGTCAACAACGGCGTTTTGATGGGGGATGGCCCGCTCCCGTGTGCTAAAAGCTACGGCCAGTGTGACACCCCGACATGGGATAATTGGTCGTGCTGCCCAAAAGAGTTTCCTTCTTGCGGGAAAGGCGTGAGTGGTTTCATGTATGAGGACCAGCCTTTTGGTTTCTGTGGCTGATAGGTCGTGCGTTTACCTCGAGCAGGACGGTTGACTGGCGACGACTTTTTCTTCCTGTGGCCTCTTGCGACCTCGATCACGGAAGCTGCTCTCTTCTCCTCCTCCTCTGCTTATCTTCCCCGTGAGAAGCTCGCGTCGCCGCTGCGCGCCAGACTAGTCATACACAAGTCCCAACGGGCGCACTGCGGCGAGGCAGATGAGTACAGACAGAGGCTTATTCATTCAGCTTGAGCGCACTCCTCCGTTCTCCTCCTCTCTGAGTGTGTGATGGGGGCCTGTGTCGTGCTCCTCACCAACGGCTCTCTAGAGTGTACGGGGGGAAGGACAGACACGTCCCGCATATGCTACGGGTCCCTAGTATGGGTTCGGGGACTGTTCACAGCAGTGCGGGGGTAGGGGACCCTCGCGCATAGCCCCGGAGTACCAGTATGGATTTCTTTTTCGGCCGCCAATTCCAGAGCTGGATTTCTTCCTCTCCTCTGGCGGGCGAAAAAAAACTCGCGGCGCCGGGGGCAATCCTGAGAGTGAGCAAATTGCAGTGGGATTCTTTTTTTTAATCGCAATCCATCGCAATCACACGGACCCCCCCTCACCGACCCGCCTGCCGACGTGAAGCTATGATCATAACATGATCCGACCGCGTTCGACCACGTGTTCGAGTTCCTTACTTCCTACTCCGACCCGCGACCCTGTTCCGACCGTGATCCGACCTGATCCGACCGTGCTCGAACAGCGGTCAGCGGCGGCGGCACCTAGGGAATTTCCAGACCATGTTCCGCCCCTGATCCGACCATGATCCGACCATGTTCAAAGTGATGACGGTCGGAACAGGTCAGTACTCAGCTTCGGTCTGACCAGTCAACCCTGGAGGCGGATTAGCGGGGTCTGTCCGACTCGCTCGCTGCACGGTTGGCTGCGGCGCTCCGGCGCAAGCCGACGCTCGGGAAGTGGCGCCACTCTGCGTGGCTGCCCTCCGGGCTTGTCCTTGGCTCTCCGACATCGATCGAGCACGCCTGTCCGACGAGCGGCTTGCCGTGCGGGTGGCTTCGTGTGGCGCTCTTGTCGAGAGCGTTTTGCGGCCCGGCGGGTGAGAGAACATGTGTCGTCTGATGTGTCACTGTGTGCGTCATATCAGTCTTGATAACAAGCACGGTCGATCAAGCGATATACTCGTCACGTCACGCTGGACGCCTTGCACGGAGCTCTGTGCCGGCAAAACAGGAAGAGCCGTCCGACAAGAAGAGCTCGATAGGGAGCGAGGACCGTCAAAGGTGCTCACGCAGGTTTCGGACGTCCGTCATGGTGCGGTCAGTTCCCCCCAGGTTTGACCGCGCAGGTCCCAAAACTCGTCGAGCACTCGTAGCCTTTCTGCGACTTTCTGCGTGCTGCCGGCTCGGGAAGAGCAGATTTTGCAAGATATCTCAACGAGATCCGACATCTGCGCGGTCATTTTTGGAGTGATCTTACCGCGTCATGACGGAGTCTTGATACCTCTCGAAGCACCTCTAACGGTTCTCGCTCCCTATCGAGATCTTCTTGCCGGACGGCTCTTCCTGTTTTGCGGGGCGCGCTGAGCTCTGTGTCAAGCTCGAAGGGCAACGGAAACGAGTGCTTGTTAACAAGACCGATCTCACGTACACAGTTACACTCCAGACGTCCTGTACTCTCCCATCCGACAACCGGCAAGACGCTGTCGTGAGCCAGCCGCTCTTGCGGCAGCCGTCAGCAGAGACCGAGCGCGTCGGGCGAGTGGAAACGTGCTGATCCCAGCCATCGACAAGAGGAGCACGACTGGCTACAAGAACGCGAGCCACAGCCGCCGCGAGAACCGCTGAGCTGCTGCAGCCTCGGACGCCCTGCTCCCACTGCCGCTGGCGCCGAGGCGATTCGGCAGGCGGAGAGGGAGGGCCTGACTCTGGCCAGCAGCAGCACTGCCGCTGGCGTCGAGGCATTCCGGCAGGGGAGGGAGGGCCTGACTCTGGCTACCAGTAGCGACAGCAACAGCGGCTACAGGGGCGTCTGCTACTACCCGAAGGAGAACGGCAGCAAGAAGTACACGCTGAGGGTGATGGTTGGCGGCAAGCAGAACTTCCTCGGAGACAGTCTTCGCCACCGCCGAGGAGGCGGCGCTGGCGCGCGCGCGGCACATGTGGGACACGACCGTCCGCCTGCTCGAGCCGCCGCCGCAGCAAGCACCGCCGCAAGGCGCAGCAGGGCCTTCCGAGGCCAGCAGCGTCGAGGAGGAGGAGGACGGCTTTTCGACCCGGCGGACACTTGTCACTTCTACTCGAGAGTGTGTACAGTGTTTGGGGTAGTCCTTGCCTTTGTGCCGCAGTGCCCGTGCTGCGTGCAAGCCATCATCCTTGATCTTGTTGTTTCTTTCCCCCGCAAATAGAGATAAAACGAGCTGCCCAGCTCGCAGCTGGCGACGGCGAGCATCGAGAGCAGGCACCAGCAGGCCACTGGCCAGACCCCAGAGCAGCAGGCGGCCACAGTGCACAGACTGCACTCGACTCGCGCTCACTCACACTCTCCTCCATTGGGCGATCTGTGGGTTCTTTACTTCCTGGCTCTCGCCAAGCTCACGCGGCCCCTCCGATGCTCTCCATGAGCGTCAGGTCCGGGCGCACCGCGTCGCGCAGCGCGCAGTAGTCGGCGAGGCGCGGCGCGTCGACGCCCACCTCGCGCAGCTGCGCGCCGAGCGCCTCGACGTCGAGAAAAAGCTGGACGCACACCTAGACTCGGTCCTCTCTCGGGGTCATCTCGCGCCATCTCGGAGAGGCACGCCTCGAGGTCCGAGGACGAGCTGCGCCGCACGCCTTGTCCGCGTCGGTCGTGGAGGACGCCGCGTCGGCCTTCCTCGCGTACCGACGCCGCGCCTCCTCGTCCTTGCGCACACCTGTCAGAGGACGGGAGCTGTGAGCGGCCACGGCTAGAGGGGTCTCGGCTCTTGCCTCCCCGCATGATGCCGTCGAGCATCGACGTCGCCAGCTGCAGAAAGTGGCGGCAGACCACGCCCCCCACCTCGGCCGCCCATTCGCGCCGCGCCGCCTCGCCGAGCCGCTCGCCTGCCTGGTGGTGAAGCAGGTCGCGCAGCGGCCTCGTCACCTCGGGCATGCAGAGAGCGACGCGTGAAGAGGTGATCTGGGATGGTGTCTCGGGTGGGCTCGGGTGGGATCTGAGTGATCTGGGGTGATCTGGGGTGATCTCGTGAGCTCGTCACCTCGGGCATGAAGAGCGACGCCGCCGTCGGCAGCGGGCGGCCGGTCAAGCGGTAGAGGGCCGGGATGGCGCGGGCCGGCGCGAGCTGCGCCGTGCAAGTGCCGCCGAGCTGCGCAAGCACGGCCGCGCCTGCAGCGAGCACTGAGACCGCTGCAGTCACATGCAGCGCTGTGCTGCAAGTGGCGGTCGCAGCCTGTCGTCTGGAGCGCAGACCGGTGGGAAATCGTGGACGAGTAGGGGGCGGGGCGCGTGTCGTGGACGCGTCTCTCAAACCGCGGCGCGGGAGGCGCACGTCCGCCGCAAAGCAGCGCCGCAGCGCCGCCGCCGCCGCCACCCCCGCCCGGGTGCGGACCTGTCGTGGCTTTGGCACGCCGCCACCGCCACCACCGCCACCACCACCGCCCTCGCCGCCGCCGCCCTCGCCGCCCTCGCCGCCACCGCCGCCGCCGCCGCCGTCGCCGTCGCCGTCCTCGGCCGTGTCAGCCGCCGCGTCGCTTCGTGCGAGCGCCGCCTCGAGCTGCTTAGCGATCTCCTGCACGCGCAGCTGAAAGTAGATGGGCAGGTTGAAGCGGCGCATCAGGTCTGCGCCGGCCGGGTGGCACCGAAAGTAGTGCCGCTCGGCGGGCGTCTGCAGCAGCGCCTCGAGCTTGGCCTGTGGCGGCGCGAGACACGCCCGAGCTTGGACCGAGAGAGTGGAGGCTGATCCGAGGGGGGGCCGAGGGTGGGCCGAGATCGCCCCCCGTGCTGTGGCCTGCAGCGCGACGGTCGCCGTGTGGGCCGCGTGCAGCGCCGCCGGCGTGCCTACTCCAGTCCTTGCTCCGCCTGGCGAGACGAGCAGCCGGGCCAAGGGAAGGAGCTGGCGCCGCCGTGCCGGCGAGAGAGCCGAAGAGGTGGGGCGTCCCCTTGAGGAAGGCGCACGCCTAGGGGAGGGGGTGGGGGGAGGGGGTGGGGGGAGGGGGGGGACGTGCGGCGCCGAGGAGCGCGGTGGAAGGAGGGGGTGGGTCGCTTTGGCGAGGAGGGTGCGCTGGGGAGGGCGGCGAGAGCGAGGCACAGCTGCACGCCTCCGCCCAGACCGAGTCGGCGAGGAGGTGGAGAGGTCGCTGCGGGTCGGCGAGCGCAGCGGCGCGAAGAGGCCGAAAGGCGCCTCCACGCGCAAAGACGAGCACCTGCGGGTGTGGGGTGAGGGAGGGTGGGAGGAGAAGGAGAGAATGCTGGTGGGCGAGGGCGAGGGCGAGGGCGAGGGCGAGGGCGAGCAAAGGCCGGCACCTCGGCGCAGATCCGCGGCAACGCGTCCCTCTCGGTCCCTCTCGCCACCGCGCCCTTCAGCTGCGGGACGAGCCGCGGAGCGACCCACTCCGAGCGGAGCCAGTGCGTCGCCTACGGCCAGGCGCTTCCCAGAAGGCTCACGGAAAGGTCGCCGCCTCTCTGAGCGCGAGATGGGAGAGCAGCGCCTCAGCAGAGGCATCGGCGTCAGCAAAGCCGAGGACGACCCGTGCCGCGCGCGCCTCGTCGCCCGCCGCGAGGGCCTGCTGACGGCTAGATGCGTGAAAGGGGCGCCGTTCACACGGGCGAGCCTCGTCGAGCCGCCGCGAGCGCCGCGTGCAGTGAATCAGTCAGCTGGCGGAGCAGCGTCTTGCGCACGCGCTCCCACCGCTCGAGTCCGGGGCGGACCGCCCTGAGCTTCTGCTCGGCGCCTCGCTCTCGCAGGATGCGCAGCCGTCCCATCTCGCGCGCCGCGCGAAGCAGGTCGTCGAGCGCCTCGGCCGCTCCCGCGCCCTCCGGCGCCGGCGGCCGGTCGAGCAGCGACTCGAGGTGGTGCAGCGTCTGCGCCAGCCTCTGGAGGAGGCGGAGCCGCTCGCGCTGCTCGTTGAGCTTGGCGCGCTCGTCCAGCTTGGCGCCGATCCGCTCGGCGACCGACGAGAGGGGCGTGGTGAGTGCCGAGCATGTCTCCTCAAAGACGGCGAGCGAGTCGCACAGGCTCTCGATGCTCTCCTCGTGGCGCGCGATGCCGGCGGAGACGCTGCGGAACTGGTCAACGTCGACGGAGCGGTCAATCTCACTCGCGAGCGACTGGAGCGTGTCCGTTAGGTCGCGCTTGAGCGAGGAGAGGGCGGGCATGAACAATCGGCATAAAACAGCGGCTGCTCCAAGAACAGCCCTGCGAACGCGCACCCCCGGGGCTAGGGCTCTCTTGCCCGCAACCCGATCCCGATCATCCGGCCCGCTGGGTGCGCTCCTTAGCTCCCCGGCCCTGGATGTGAGGCTAATGACTGCACTCCAAGTGCTCCAAGTGCTCCGCCCGCCACTACGGTCTACGCACTAGGCACGGGACTGGCGCGCACTGGCACTAACACAGGTACACCACGGGAGCCGCCTAAGCGACTCCCGCGAGGACGGCGAGGCACTTAGCTCCGTGCACTCGACCGCCCTCGCCGCAGGCAAGCTCATTCACAATCTGCTCTGCGATGGCCGTGTGAAGAACGACTGAGATGCGCTGCTTCTGCAGCCCCAGCCAGCTCTTGGTGGTCCAAGTCACCTCATCGAGGTACTGGGCCCGCGTCAGCTTGTTCTGCAGCGCGTTCGCCGCCTTCCAGAGGATCGCGCCGACCCCCTTCCCGAACCCACCGAACGACTCGAACAAGGAACAACAGCAGCTGCACGTCGACGTCCTGGACGTCCTTGTCCTCCCTGGCGTAGCGATACTCGCCGCCATAGGACGGTATGCGGCGATCGCCGCCCACCACCCTGCCCCCCCTAGTATGCCATCGACCCGTCCCCTGCCCCCTCTCTCGCCCTTCGTCCCCTGCCCCCTCTCTCGCCCTTGCTCTTCTTCTCCCCCCCCCTCCATGCCCTCGCCCCCGTACCCCTCACACTCCCCTCCCCCCCCCCCCTTCTCCCTCCCCCTCGCATCCCTCTTCCATCTCGCAGTAGGGCCCATGCCCAGAACAAGAATTCGAGGACCACAAGCCCCTCTGTCGTGTGTTGCTCGTGCGTGTCGTCATCATCTGTCCCGCGTCCACACCCATACCGCGCTGGTGTCCAGTCCGAGCCTGACTGTTCTTCACCTTTCTACCTACCTACCTACCTCGGTGGAGACTTGTTTCTTGCTCCTTTAGGTGCTTTTAATACGTTCTGATTCTTGTGCTGATACTTGCGTGTCCGAGACTGCTTGCGTTAGGCCTCTGGGTTTTCTTTGTGTCGGCGTCCTGTCTCGTTCCCCTTTGGGTTGGACCTCTAGTTGTTCCCCTACAGCAGTGGTGGTCCGCTCACTGCGGTTTCTCTTGCTGCCGGCTGTCCGCCGACAGGTGGAGCCCACACAGTCGGCGACAGTCCGTCGCCGCGCGCGGACCGCGCAGGACCCGGACCGGGCACGTCCGTGGAACCGGAGTTACTTACGGCACGCAGGAAATATGCTCGGCGAGGCGCGGGAAACGTCGGCGGGGACCTCGATGGTGGATGCCTCAGCCCCTCCTGAGCTGGCGGCGGCAGGCGTGTCGGGTGGCGCACCATGCGGCGTAGGCGGCGGAGCAGACTGGGCGGGGGCGTCACGGCGAGCACCGGCGGTCGAGGGACGAACATTGCGCTGATCGCGGCCCTAGGTGGTGGCTGGCATATAGAGTGCACGGTTTGACCATGGCAGCGCACAAGTTGGCGGTCGACGCTGTCGTGTCGATGGTGGTGTCGGCCTCGGCGCGATCGATGCAATAGTCGAGGCCGTGCTGGCCGGAGGATAAGCCATACTCGATAGCGGTCCCGCCATAGCTCCCGCAAAGGAGCAGGAGGCTAGGCAGAGGCCGCATCGCGTCAGAGAGTGCTGTATACGTTTTACCAAAACCGAAACACGAATCTCCAATCAAAAGGGATGAAATCCCTTATGGATATAATCGCCCAATTATCTCAGGAATATAGTGTGAATGCCCGGGAACAGAGGGCGAGACGATCGAGGGGTCCCGTACCACGCGGAATCGACCCTATCCAGTGCTCAAGTGCTCAAGGAGGCAACGGGGTACGTGTCAAGTCCAAGGAAGGCAAATCGAAGTGCCCGCAAACTATCGGCGGGAGCAAGCCGCCACTCTCTCAACCTACCCCCAGACCAGATATGGCGGACGACGAGGTCGCGGCGCTTGTTGTGGACAACGGCTCGGGCATGTGCAAGGCTGGTTTTGCCGGCGACGACGCCCCGCGCGCCGTCTTCCCCTCCATCATTGGCCGGCCGCGTCAGCCGGGCGTGATGGTCGGGATGGGGCAGAAGGACTCGTACGTTGGAGACGAGGCGCAGTCCAAGCGCGGCATCCTGACGCTCAAGTACCCCATCGAGCACGGCATCGTCACCAACTGGGACGATATGGAAAAGATCTGGCACCACACCTTTTACAATGAGCTGCGCGTTGCACCAGAGGAGCACCCCGTCCTGCTGACCGAGGCGCCGCTCAACCCCAAGGCGAACCGCGAGAAGATGACGCAGATCATGTTTGAGACCTTCAACGTGCCCGCCATGTACGTCGCCATCCAGGCGGTCCTCTCGCTCTACGCGTCGGGCCGCACCACCGGCATCGTGATGGACTCGGGCGACGGAGTCTCGCACACCGTGCCCATCTACGAGGGCTACGCGCTGCCGCACGCCATCCTGCGGCTCGACCTCGCCGGCCGCGATCTGACCGACTGGATGGTCAAGCTGCTCACCGAGCGCGGCTACTCCTTCACCACCACCGCCGAGCGCGAGATTGTGCGCGACATCAAGGAGAAGCTGGCGTACGTTGCGCTCGACTTTGACCAGGAGATGCAGACCGCCGCCCAGTCCTCGGCGCTCGAGAAGACGTACGAGCTGCCCGACGGCCAGGTCATCACCATCGGCAACGAGCGCTTCCGCTGCCCCGAGGCGCTCTTCCAGCCCTCCTTCCTCGGCATGGAGTCGGCGGGCGTGCACGAGACGACGTACAACTCGATCATGAAGTGCGACGTCGACATCCGCAAGGACCTGTACGCCAACGTCGTCCTCTCGGGCGGCACCACCATGTACGCCGGCATCGCCGACCGGATGTCCAAGGAGATCACCGCTCTCGCGCCCGCGTCGATGAAGGTCAAGATCATCGCGCCGCCCGAGCGCAAGTACTCGGTCTGGATTGGCGGCTCGATCCTCTCGTCGCTCTCCACCTTCCAGCAGATGTGGATCTCGAAGCAGGAGTACGACGAGTCGGGCCCGTCCATCGTGCACCGCAAGTGCTTCTAGGCTGACCTGCGTTGCGAGTGGTAGCGTGCATACGTGTGTGACCAGACGTGGGGACCTTGCTCGGTCGGTGTCGGGTGCGCGCCGCGGCCGCCGGCCCGGCGCGGGCGGGGTCCTGGCGGGTGCGGCTGCGGGGACGTCGCTCGTCGGACGAGCGGCAGTGCGCAGTGGGCGACGTGTATCTTTGTTTATACTATCAAAAAAACAGAACGCGCTTCGGAAATGCTTGCGCTTGCTTGCCGAAGGGGCCCGTCTTGCGCACGCGCGCGTTTGCAGCCGCGTCGCACGCCAGGTCAGCTCGCGATCAGCGCGCGCCGAGCCCCCCTTCCCCCTGCAGGGCGCGGCCCGGCCGGCCGCCTAGCGGCCGATGCCGACGCTCCAGACGCGGATGTGCCCGTCGGTGTAGCCGGAGAAGAGGGTGGCGCCGTCGGCCGACCAGCAGAGCGAGACGCAGTGGTGCGGCGTCGCCTTCTTGCCCACGGGGGGGAAGTCGGGCTCGAGCTCGTCGACGATGGACTTGGACTCGAGGTCCCAGATCTTGATGCACGTCGTCGTCGCCGCGCACAGCCAGTACCGGTTCGGCGAGAAGACCATCGAGTAGATGACGTCCCCCGCGACGAGCGAGTAGAGGTGCTTGCCCTCGTTCAGGTCCCAGAGCATGGCGGTGCCGTCCTTGCCGCCCGAGGCGCAGAGGGAGCCGTCGGGAGAGACGGTGACCGTGTTGAGGTACCCCGAGTGCCCCACCAGGTTGGTGCGCAGCTTGCAGTTGGTGAGGTTCCACACCTTGACCAGCTTGTCCCAGCCGCAAGACACGATCAGCGGGTTGGCGGCCGACGGCGAGAAGCGGACGCACGAGACCCACTCGGTGTGGCAGTCCTCGGTGATGGTGTACTTGCACTCGCCGAGCGTGTTCCACAGCTTGATCGTCTTGTCGCGCGAGCCCGACACGATCTGCCGGTTGTCCGCCGAGAAGGCGACCGAGAGGACGTCCTTCTCGTGCGAGACAAACCGGCGGGTCGTGGAGCCCGTGTTGAGGTCCCAGAGGCGGAGGGTGCCGTCCCACGAGCCGGAGAGCGCGAACTGGCCGTCCGACGAGATGGTGACGTCCTGCACGTAGTGGCTGTGGCCGCAGAGCGACTTGGCCGGCACGCCCTCGCCGCCGGCGAGGTTCCAGACGATGACCGTCTTGTCGCGCGAGCCCGAGAGGAGGACGTCCGACTGCTCGATGGTCGTCGCGATGCACGTGACCCAGTCGGAGTGGCCCTTGAGCGTGGAGCGGAGGTTGAGCGTCTCGGCCATTGCTGCGGCGGGGGGCGAGGGAGCTGGGAGAGAGCCCCGCCGCGCAAGGGACGCGCCCGCCGCTGGCAGGGGCGAGGGGGCGGGACGCGGGGCGGGGTGGTGGTAGCAGGGGCACGCGCAGCGGCGCGGGACCGTGGACCGCGCTGCGGCACGCGGATGCCGGCAGGAGGAGGCGGAGGGGAGGCGGGAGCAAGACCTGCCTGATATGGACACGGGTGAGCAGAAAAAAAATATTTTTATTGATTTATTTTTTTGTTTCGTTGCGCTTCCGTCCTGAGGCGAACCGCGGAAAGAAGAAAGAAAATCGCTCGTCTCCCTTTTTACGACACGCCGCGCGTTTTGACTATCAGCATTTGGCGCGAGCCACGAGAGCCACTGACGTCCACGGGGGAACGCTCTCACGATGACGCTCCGCGCCCACCTCCTCGAGGGTCGCGAGGCACAACCGGATCCTCCGCCGCAGCGCCCACGCCCGCCCGAGGTCATCGTCATGGGCTTCGAGGAGGCGGACGGGGACGACCAGCGCGGCTGCTGCACTCTCCCGCTCAAGAGCCGGGGCCGGTCGGTCAGCTGGTGCCCGAGCGCAATCAGTCCGCGGGGAGCGGGGCGCGCCATACTGAGGCGGTGCTCCGGGTGCAGAGCTTGCCCGAATCCGCGCGTGTCAGTCACCATCGGGTGCAGAGCTTGCGCGATGCTCCTCTGCGCCGCGCAGAGGGTGCTCCCGCCTGAACCCTGATGTATTGGTTTTTACTGGTGGCACTTGTGGCATGGACGCATGTATGTGGGCACAATGGCAATCGAACATGACATGGACATGTGGCATGATGTGCCGGCGATGATCTCATCACGAACATCTCATGCATGCCGACACAAGACTCAGACATGGTCATGGACACATGGTAGGTACATACGTGGACTCTGAAACATTGGTCACTGCAGCACACGGCTCAGTCCTCAGAGCCCTCACACAATAGACTCTTCCACATGAGCCGTCCTCCCTGTCTCCTCCACCATGGCGACTCGAGACTCGCGCCCCTCGCCGTGCACCTGACTGAAGATGAGACGCCTCGCCCAACCGTTGAACTCGGCGAAGCTCCCAAAGCTCTCCTCGATGACAGACAGCAGCGCCTGCCTGTCCTCTACCCTCGCGCAGCGGGCCTTCTCCGCGTCAAACGAAGCAAACGACGCGGTGACGTCGGAGAGGGTCGCGCGAGTCGACTCGTCGGGGGGTCTGTCGGTCGCGGCGCGATCTGGCTGCCGCGCGGACGGCTCGGCGAAAGGCAGCACGGTGATGCGCTCGAGTGGCGCGCCCATCTTGAGAAAGGCGAAGAGCTCCATGACGCACCAGAGCCGGCTGCTGTACGTCGGCCCCGCGAGGACGAGCAGCCGGTCGCAGCCCGCCAGGAAGATGGGCAGGCACGCGAGCGCCTCCTGCACGTTTCGCTGGTCGATGCAGAGCTTGTCGAGCCAGACGGTGGGCGGCCGGCCGTGCTCCTCCTCGAAGGCCTCGGCCCACGCGCTCAGTGCGGCCCACTTTGGCCCGGGCGGGTCGCTCCACGAGTGAGAGATGAAGGCGTCGCACTGGCCCATGGCTCGCGGCTCGCTGCGCCACTGGCCGCCGTGCGGTTTAGCCGCCTCGCAAACACCGCCGCCGTCGCTGCCGCCCTGAGGGGAGAGGAGACTGCCCCGGCGGGCAGAGGACCGTCGCTTGCTCGACGCGCGCGCGTCGCCCTCGGCGACAAAGTCGTCCTTCGCCAGCTGGTCGAAGCTGACGGTGCGGAAGTGTGACTCGGCCCACTGCAGCAGCGTGTCCACCGAGCCAGCCACCGAGCCGCCCCGCCCCGCGACGAGTCCGGCCAGCACCGCCGCCTCCCGCTCCTCGGCGGTGGAGCCGGTCTTGCAGAGGGCAGAGAGGGCGGCGGCTCGCACTTGCGGCTCGAGAAAGCAGGGGTACGAGAGGAGGGAGAGGCCGCCGAGCAGGACGGGCATGAGGTGCTCGTCAGAAGCCGGGTCCTCTCCCGCCGCCCGAAGCGGGAGGTAGGCGAGAGTGGCACAGCCGGCGAGGCCGCCCGCGTACCGCGCCACGTCACAGTGCAGCAATAGCGCGCGGCGCGGGGAGTAGCTTCCCTGCCTCCGACGCCACCACACCGCGTCGACGAGGACGCTGCAGAAGGCCAAGCAGACGGCCGAATCGATCGCCGCGATCGCGAAGCAGATCTCAGAAAGACCCTCGTCCATGAGGTGTGTGCGCCAGCCGGCGAAGGCCATCAACAGGCTCGCGAAGGCCACAAGGAGGGTGTTTGCTGCCACCATCCCCAGTACCATTCTGGAGTCCGATGGGCGGATGGAGAGGATGGCCAAGCAGACCGCCGGCGGGCAGAGCGCCATCGGGAGCACTGGGCTGCCGAGGGCCTGGATCGGCCATATGCGGTAGACCAGGGAGAGGATGAGCGGTGTAAAGGCCCAAAAGAAGGATGAGATGCCGAGCACCTGCAGCAGCATCTGCACGCGCACCCGGATACGTCGCCGTGCCGCGCCGGCTCGCGAGAGCTCCTGCCTGGCGAGTGCCACATGGCGGGCGGCCCCGCCTTCGCCCCCTCGAGGTTGCGCTCGCAGCTGCTGCTCGCGGTGGCGCCCAATCCCGCCCTGCCTGGTGTCCTCTTTGGCTGCCGCGTAGCTGTCGCGCATGCGGAGAGCGCCCCAGCCACACAGCAGGGCGAGAGTGAGCACCGAGCAGCCGAGCAGATAGATACACCCACCAAAAAGGCCTCGCCCCCGGGTCGAGGCGCCGCGGCCCGAGAGGTGCATCCAAGCTTCTGCGGCGAAGCTCTCGCTCAGCACAGCTCCCTTCTGGCACAGGCAAGGGAGCCGCCTTTCGCAACCGACGTCGCTCCACCCGCCGCCAGTGGCGGCGACGCAATCCTGCATTTCGAGGAGATCGTCGGGCTCGCTCGGCAGCCAGTTTTCATACGAGGCGTTGCAGTCGAGCGTCGCCGGCCTCCATCCGACGGAGGCGCCTCGGTCGTTTGGCCACTGATGATGGCCCAAGAAAATCGTCAGACCGGCTGTGCGATCAGCGACGAACGTTGAGGCCTCCGCTGAGTCCACGCAGGCCGGCGCGACCGGCACTCCCTCCTCCTGCGAGAGGTCGGCGCACGCTGTGAGGCAGCCGAGGTGCGAATGGCGCGAGCTCGTGACGTAGTAGGACCGGTTTCCAGGGGCCCAGTCGAGCCACACGCCTGTCGGACGCCCGGGTCGCGAGGCAAGCACGCGTGCGAGCGAGACGAGGGAGATGGTGGCGCTGACAGCGCAGAGAACGATGAGGAGGGAGGGTGCCATGTGACAGGAGCAGCGAAGGACGCAGCGAGTGCAGCAGGCTGCAGCGAGCGCAGCAGGCTGCAGAGTGCAGCAGACTGCAGCTAGGTGCGCGCGTGTCGTTCGCCGAGCTCCTTCCGGGTCTCGCCGGCAAACCCCGCTGGGGGGGGGGGGGGGGGGGGGGGGGCTAAGTGACCCGTTTTTACCCACCCACGCCCGTGCGCGCGTATCTTAGCAGCAGGTACGCGGCCACACGCGCTGGCGCGCACGGCAACCGGGACTTACACGCGCGACACGAGGGACTGTGTATCCTCGCCTGCCTCGGGGGAGAATAGCCGCCCCCTCACCCGCTGCCGCGCATCGAGCTCGGCGGGGCTGATACGTGTCATTCTGTGCCGGCGCGTATCTTATCCAAGATACGCGGCCACACGTGCAGACGCGTATAGCGGTACTCGCGCCCACACGTGCAGCCGCCTATCTTCGGAACGAAATCTAACCGGAGAAGCACAAAAAGAAATCGCGCGCCATCTCCGCTTGCCCCGCTTGCCCCGCCCTTCAAGACGAGATGCCCTCCCCGCCCTCCCGCGCCTCCGCCGCGCTCCGCACGCCACCGCCGTCTGCTGACAGCGCGCCGGGTGGTGAAGTCCCAAAGAACGTCCTGAAGGCGGCTGCGGACGGCCGCGTGGGACCGGTGCGATCGTGGCTGAATGAAGGCGGGAAGGCGGACACTCTCGCTGAGTTACCCTCTGAGGCCGGCAAGATGGCTCCATGCACCCTGCTGATGCTCGCCGCACAGCACGGGCACGCGCAGATTGTCGAGCTCCTCCTGAAGCGTGGCGCGCACGTCAACCTGCAGAGCAGTCGCGGCTCCACTGCGCTGAACACTGCTGCCTACTGCGGCCGCGAGCGGATGGTGGAGATGCTGCTGCAGCACGGAGCAGAGATCGGGATGGCGCTGGCAGTTTCAGCCCAGGGCGGACAAGAGCGGGTGGTCGACCTGCTGCTGCGGCGTGGCGCGGAGATCGACCTGCTGCTGCGGCGTGGCGCGGAGATCGACCTGCAAAACAAGAACGGTGACACCGCGCTGATCTTCGCCGCAGCGCACAACCGCCCCGCCGCCCTCCTCCGCTTGCTGCGGGCGGGCGCAGACATGACGTGGCGCGATGCGGAGGGCAAGACGGCGCTGCAGTGGGCCAAGGAGAGGGGCCACACTGAGTGTGTGAAGGCCTTCAGGACGCATCTCGGGGAGGTGGCGGCGAGCCGGCGCAAAGCACCGTCGGCAGGCGGCGCAGGCGCGGCGGTGGGTGCGAGTGCCGTGGCCTCTGCTTCGAGCGGCGAAGGAGGCGCGGGGGCCGAGCCGAGCGGCGGGGCACTGCCAAAGGAGGTCGTGCAAGCGGCTGAGCGAGGCGACGAGGAGGCGGTTGTGATGGCGTGGCTCGACGGCGGCGGGCGGGTGAACGCGACGTTCGTGTACGTCTTTTCGAGCGGCCCCGTGAGCGGCATGACGCTGCTGATGCTCGCAATGATGAGGGGCCACGAGGGGCTGGCCGAGGCGCTGCTCCAACGCGGCGCGGATGTCTCTTTGCAGACCAGAGAGGGCGACACCGCGCTGCTACTCGCCGCCGCGTACGGCCGCGAGAAGCTGGTCGAGTTGGCGTTGCGGCACGGCGCGGAGATCAACGAGCAAGCTACTCTCGGCAGTACCGCGCTGATGGCCGCCGCCGGCAATGGCCACGACAAAGTGATCGACGCGCTAACCCGGCACGGCGCGGCGATCGACCAGCAGTCCAACACCGGCGACACCGCACTGATTCGGGCCGCTTTCTACGGCCACCCCGCCGCCCTCCTCTGCTTGCTGCGGGCGGGCGCAGATGTGACGCTGTGCAACACGGATGGCTGGACCGCGCTGCTGTGGGCCAAGGAGAAGGGCCACGCCAAGTGCGTGCGCGCCCTCGCGGAGCATGCGGCGGCCGAGAAGGCGGCGGAGAAGGCGGCGGCGGAGGCGGCGTGGGCCGCGGGAGCGGCGGAGAGGGCGGCGCAGAGGGCGGCGGAGGAGAAGGAGGCGGCGCGGCACGCGGAGGAGCTGCTGGCGGAGGTCGAGGCGGAGAAGCGCGCCAGGGGCAAGAAGGGCAAGAAGAAGAAGAAGAAGGGCGGCGGGGCGGGCGGGGCTGCGGGGCCGTCGCAGGAGCCCGAGGAGGGTGCCGAGGCGCCGTCGGAGGCAGGCGCAGCCGAGGCCGCGAAGAAGGCCGAGGAGGCGAGGCTTCTCCTGCTTCTCGAGACGCTCACCGAGGAGAGGATGCGGCTCGGCATCACGGCGGAGAGCCAGGCGGCGGCGTCGGCAGAGGTGGCCGAGGCGGCGCGCTTGGGCGCTGCGGCGGACGAAGCGGAGGAGGAGGCGGAGGCGGAGCAGGAGGCCGAGGCGGCGGCCGAGGCGGCGGAGGCGGAGGCCGAGGCTGCGCAGGCGGAGTCCAGGGCGGCGCAGGCGGAGGCCACGGCGGCGATGGAGGAGGCCACGGCGGCGATGGAGGAGGCCAAGGCGGCGCTGGAGGAGGCCAAGGTGAAGCTGAGTGGAGCCGATTCGGCCGTTGAGGGGGACGAGACGGCGCTCGAGGAGGCGAGAGCCGCCACAAAGATGAGGCGTGCTGCTGCAGTCGCTGCGAGGGCCAGGGCAACCACCGCCAGGATGGCATCGCAGGCGGCCCAGCGCTCATAGCGCGAGTTGCTCAGAAGAAGCGCGTGGCCACCATCCTGCGGACTGTCTAGCTGGGTGGAGCTTGGGAGCTTTCGTCGATGACGCGCTCGCCGGAGGTCATCATGGTTGCACTGAGATGTCATGTTTGGGTGTTGTCGTTGTTCGCTTGAGCCGGGGAGGTCTGAGCGGGGGCGGGGGCTGGGGGCGGGGAGGGAAACCGGGGGGGTGCTCGAATAGCTTGTGCCCCGTCGGGGAGAGTGCGCCGGCCCCGCCGCCCCGCGCGGGGCAGGGAACGTGGGGGACACCTGCGGACAGCGACAGGGGAGCGGGTGTGTGACGGTCCGCACACCCCAAGCGCCAAGTGTGAGCTTTCGTGACATAGTTGTAGATTACATAATACAATAAGAGACCACAGATAACTCTCACAGCTCTCCTCAGACTCTCGCGCGCGTGTGCACTACATGGTGGCATCCTGGGCCTCGAGGGCCGCCAGAGACGACATGAGAATAATCGCAACAGAGAACGCTGGACTCGTCAGGGTCTCAGCATAGTACTAGTACGGGGCTGAGTGCTTGCTTGCCCAGGCATGTGAACGGCGAGGCCCCGTCGAGCCGGCGCGCAGCGCGCTCAGGCGGCCGCGGCGGAGCGCAGGCGCTTCCCCTCCTCGGCCCAGTCGTCTTGCGACGGCGTGGCGAGCTCGTAGCGGGGCATGCCGGCGACGGGCCAGATCTTCGGCACGCGGGTGGTGGCGCCGTCGAGCCACGGCGCGGCGGCGGAGCGCTTGGCCTCGAAGTCGCGGATGGTGTCCATCTTTTGGAGCGTGAGGCCGATGTGGTCGAGCCCGTTGAGCAGGCAGTCCTTGCGGAACGGGTCCACCTGGGGGTGCGGCGGCCCGGGGGTCGGTGACTCGGCTGGTCGCACGTCGCAAGGATGGGGCGGTGAGCGCTGCTGGTTGATCGTAGTCGGCAGGGTGCGTGCTGGCCCCGTGGCGTGTACCCCCTGCACCCGCCCGCCCGCGCCCACCCCGGCCACCCCGCGTGGAGTGTGCCCTGCACTGCACCCCCCCCCCTCCTCCTCCCCCGATGCGGTGCTACTTCACCTCAAAGTCGATGGCGGACCCGTCGTGGCGCACCACCTTCTGCGCCTGCAGGTCCACCTCCAGAGGGAGGCCGGCCTCGGCGTCCGCCATCAGGTCGGCGACCTGCTCACAGGTGGAAGGCGCGTGACAGAGACGCGGCTCCCACCTCGGCGTCGGCGTCTCTCCGGCCGTCGGGTGCTGCGTGGCCTGCGGCGGCGGCAGGACGATGGGCAGCATCCCGTTCTTGAAGCAGTTGTTGTAAAAGATGTCGGCGAAGGAGGGGGCGATGAGGCAGCGGATCCCCATCCCCGAGATCGACCACGGCGCGTGCTCGCGCGACGAGCCGCACCCGAAGTTCGGCCCAGCCACGAGGATACACGCGTCCTGGTACTGCGGCTGGTTGAGGACAAAGTCCTCGTTCGGCCGCGCGATCTCCGGGCCCATCGTGGCAACCTCGACCGGGTTGTGGTACCTGCCGGGGGAGCGGGGGGGGAGGGGCCTCCGGTCTCTGACGGCACATGTGCATGTGCATGTGGCGAGTCACACACACACACACACCCGCCTCTGCCGCCCCCCCCCCCCCCCCCGGGGGGTTCCCCGACCACACACCGCATTTCGGCAAAGGGGGGGAAACCGAACCCCGTCCTCTTGATAGTCTTGAGGAACTCCTTTGGGATGATCAGGTCCGTGTCGACGTTCGGAATGTTCAGCGGCGCGGCGGCGCCGCGCACGACCGTGAAGCGCGGCATGCCGCCGCCGCCGCCACCGCCGCCGTCGCCGCCGCCCTCCTCGCGGATGATCGGGCCGGCGGACTGAGTGGCGGCAGACCACATCTCGCGCTGTGTCGCGGAAGACTCGCCCGCGACAGTCAGCACCTGTGCGGCGGCGCCTCCGGCGGCTGTGGGGTGTGTCTCGGGGGTGTCTAGGGGGTGTCTAGGGGGTCTAGGGGGTGTCTCGGGGGTGTCTAGGGGGTCTCGGGTGTGTCTCGGGTGTGTCTTGGGGGTGTCTAGGGGGTGTCTCGGGGTTGTCTAGGGGTTGTCTAGGGGATGTCTAGGGTGTGTCTCGGGGGTGTCTATGGGGTGTCTAGGGGTTGTCTAGGGGGTCTCGGGGGTGTCTCGGGGGTGTCTATGAGATGTCTAGGGGGTGTCTAGGGGGTGTCTGGGAGGTGTCTGGGAGGTGTCTGGGGGGGTGTCTGTGGGAGGTGTCTGGGAGGTGTCCGGGGGAAAGCTGCAGGAGGTGTGCGAGAGTGTGCCTGGGCAGTGTGTCGAGGCAGTGTGTCGAGGCAGTGTGACGAGGCAGTGTCGCGTGCCTGCATCGCCCCCTCCGGCAGCTGCAGCGCGCGCACGTCCGCCAGCCGGCCGGTGATCGCCTAGAAGTGTCTAGGAAGGGTCTAGGAGGTGTCTAGGAAGTGTCCGCCAGCCGGCCGGTGGTCGCCGCGGCCGCAGCCATGATTGGCGACATGAGGTGCGTGCGCCCGCCCGCGCCCTGCCGGCCCTCGAAGTTGCGGTTGGAGGTCGAGGCGCACCGCTCCCCGCTGCCTAGGAAGTGTCTTGGAGGTGTCTTGGAGGTGTCTGGGAAGCGTCGAGGCGCGCCGTCCCCCGCTGCCGAGCTTGTCCGAGTTCATCGCGAGGCACATCGAGCAGCCGGGCTGCCGAAAGTCGAAGCCCGCCTATATATAAAAAAAAGTCGAAGCCCGCCTCAAGGGAGAGGGCGAGAGGGGGCGGGGAGGGGTGAGAGGGTGAGAGGGTGAGAGAGTGAGCGAGTGAGAGAGACGGAGGGAGAGAGGTGGGAGGTGGTGGAGGCATCGACGCCACCGTGCCGTCTTGCTACCCACTACGTGCCGCGAACAGCTCACTGCCCACTACTTGCTACTTCCCAAGCACTAGGCGCATCGGCGCCACGGGGCCGCGTCTTGCTACTTCTCTTCAAGACGCCCTTCTCCGGCCCCTCTCGTGGCCAGACACCCCCCGTCCGGCCCCTCGCCACTCTCGGCCGCTCTCGGCCGCTCTCGCCCAATCTCGCGCCTCGACCAGCGTGAGGTCGAGCCCCTCCTCGACCGCCTGCTCCCGCACCACGCCCGAGCCAGGCACGACCATCGCGTGCACGTGCGGCGCGACCTTGCGCCCCTTGGCGACGGCGGCGACGGCGCGCAAATCCTCGATGCGTCCGTTGGTGCAGGAGCCGATGAAGACCTGCCACGGGTCAGGCGGTGTGAACAGAGGCGGTGTGAACAGACGCGCCTCACAGCTCTCGGCGTGCTGCCCGTGACCAGGAGCGGAGAGGGGGGGGGGGGAGGGGGAGGGGGAGGGGGGGGAGGGTGCCTTGTCAACGGGGATCGCCTCGAGTGGCTCGCCCTGCCGCTCGAGCAAGCCTATGGGGGGGGGGAGATCATGGGGGGTCAGGGGGGGAGATCGCACGAGATCGCTGCTGCCGCTCGAGCAGCGGTCCCATGTACGAGAGCGCGCGCTCCGCCTTTGAGCGGAGCGTCGGGTCGTCGATCTGGTCGAGGGTGGGCACCTGGGCCGGGGGGGGGGGAGATCTGGGGAGATCTGGGGAGATCTGGGGAGAGATGGGGAGAGATGGGGAGAGATGGGGAGATCTGGGGAGATCTGGTCGAGGGCGGGCAATCTCCTATGGGCGGCCCGCAGCACCACTCCGCCACTCGCCTCCCGCTTCTCCAGCCTCGCAGGCCCTCGAGGGCTGCGAGAGGGGCGGGGGCGCACCCTGCCGCTGATGGGCGCCGTGTCCTCGGGAGAAGTGCCCCAGGTGACGGTGGGTGCGATGGAGGCGGCGTCGATGACGACAGTCCGGTCGTACGCCTGCTCCCAAAAAAGAACGCGCGTCGGACCTCCACCGCCGGTCTTCCAACAGAAGAAATCCGAGGGCGGTCGTAGGCCGCGTCCGCGTCCGAGGCGAGCGAGCGCCAGTGCGCCACCGCCGCCGCCCACTCGTCGGACTCGGGAGCAGGCACCATCGGGCGGCCGCGCAAGTAGTCGAACGTGACGTCGTCGGGCGCGATGAGGCCGGCGCGCGCGCCCGCCTCGATGGCCATGTTGCAGATCGACATGCGCCCCTCCATCGACAGCGATCGGATCGCCTCGCCCGCAAACTCGATCGTGTAGCCCGTGCCGCCGGCCGTGCCTAGGAAGTGTCCGGGACGTGTCCGGGGAGTGTCTAGGAGGTGCCGCCCCCCTGCCGCCGGCCTTGCCGATCAGGCCGCAGACGTGCAGGATGACGTCCTTTGCGGTGACGCCGACGGGGAGGGCGCCGTCGACGCGGATCAGGAAGTTCTTCATCTTTTGCTGCTGCAGCGTCGACGTCGCGAGCACGTGCTCCACCTACATGGACATGGACATGGACATGGACATGGACATGGACATGGACATGGACATGGACATGGACATGGACATGGACATGGACATGGACATGGACATGGACATGGACATGGACATGGTGATGACACCAGCCGCAGGGCGGGAATACAGCATCGCGCCGTCGTGGCATGATGCGCATTCTTCAGCCTCGAGGCTCCTCCACCTCTGATGTCCCGACCCCAAAGGCGAGATACGGGGAGATACGGGGGAGATCTTCTACGCCCCTCCACCTCTGACGTCCCGATCCCAAACGCGAGCGCTCCAAACGCGCCGTGCGTGGCGGTGTGGCTGTCTCCGCAGACGGTGGTCGCGCCCGGGACGGTGAAGCCCTGCTCGGGCCCGATGATGTGCACCACGCCCTGCCGCTTGTCGCCCATGCCAAAGTAGGCCAGGTTGAACGCCTCAACGTTCGCCTCGAGCGCGAGCACCTAGCGCAAGCCACCCAGGGCGGCGGAGCGTGACGAGCGCGGTCTCTCCGCGGCCGCCGCCCCGTCGCGCCCGATGCACCTGCGTCCGCGACTGCTCCTCCTCGATGAAGGACGCCACGTCCTTGAACTTTGAGCGCGACGAGGTGGGGATGTTGTGGTCTGCGCCGAGAACGCAACCCAGGGGTGAGGCGCGAGAGAGTGCGGGAGCGGCAAATCGACGCCGGCCGCTCACCGACAGTCACGAGCGTGCAGTCGGGCCGCCGCACGGGCCGGCCGGCTACGGCGAGGCCCACGGCATTTCCCGAGAGGATGCAACGTAATAACGGGTCCGGGTAGCCGTAGAGGAGAGCGTTGCCGTCGCTGCCCGCCTCCACGACGTGCTCGTCCCAGATCTTGTCGTACATGGTGCGCGGCCGCATGGAGAGGAAGCGGCGGCCCGTGGTGGCGCCGCGCGAGGCGCGGAGCGCTCGAGCCAGCATTGATGAGCCCCGACCGAGAGCGAGGCGAGCTCGGCCAAAAGAATTCAACGAAAAGAACTGAGAGAGAGAGAGAGAGAGAGAGGTGGGACGATAGGTCGGCAAGAGTCGAAGGCAGTGGACGTTGCAAACAGAGGCATTCTAAAAGGGCGTGGGATTATGCGGAACAATACCCTGCTGTGTGTGGTACATGCTCCAGTGGACTGGGGAGGAGCTGGATTTCCTTTTGATGAGCAGTTTGGGAGGGGAGCTCTCTTGGACGAGGTCTACAGGACATGGTGTCTACCGGCAACTACACCACAGTGCCTTGGACTTCAGTCTGCATGGGCGATCATGGCTTGGCTGCAAGGGTGCGATGTCGGGAGCGCGATGGAGTTCATGCCTAGACATAAAATTGATGGACGACTGGCAGAGAAAAGCGTGCCCCTACAGGCATTGGAGACGATGCAACTACTGGGTCTACGGTTCAAGCGCTCAGAAGGGCGCGCAGAGGGAGCCTTGGGGGAGGCCGTGTCGGTGGGAATGAGCGAAGTTGGAGATGTGGGTCCGTCTCTTTGGGGAAGGAACGATATTACTGATAGTCAGAGGCTGCGATCATTGGGAGTGCGGTTTGCGAAGGACATGTATGGAGGATGGAGTTGTGGGCATCTGCAACTCTTAACGAGTGGAGAGGCATAGGTCTGCTTCGGATGTGGTGAGGTGGACTTCACAAGAGCTGATCATGAGGAGTGGGATAGACTAGTGATGGAAGCCTCTCGTTGCGTCGACATCAGCACTACGTGGACGAGGTGGGGGAAGGAGGGGAGAGAGGAGGCGGAGGAGTTGGGGAGGAGCAAGGCAATGGGAGGAAAGGCAGGGAGGAGAGTGTTTGACGTGCGAGCATGCAGGCTGGAGTCAGCTGATGGGGTGGAGGACCATGCGAGGGGGGGGCGAGAACCGGAGTCTGTGGAGAGATGTGCGTTCCGCGTGAATGTGTCACACACTCACACGAATGAGGATAAGTGAGTACCTGTGAGTGATTTGCCAACAACAAACCTAAAACCTGTGGACTAGGTCCAGCCCTGGGTGAGCCAGATCTGACGTTTTGGGACATCGCGTCAGATCCGTGTTTTTTTGGTCTTGCGGTACATCTCTCCGCTCGCCACCTCACGCTCCGCCGTCCGGCCATGGATGGTCCGATGGAGCTCGCCGAGCTCCATCGGACCATCCAACTCCGGTCACCGAGTCTGAACGCGCTCAGCCTCAGGAGGTACCAAACCGCGCGAATTCTGCACGCCTCGCTGCACCGCTGGCTTGACTGAATCAGGCAGCAGCAGGCTGCTGCTGCTGCCACAGCAGCAGTCTGCTGCGGCCCTAATACGCAAGTTGATGACTAGCAGCACTGCCGGGGACATTCGAGCCGCCACAGCCGGTGTGCAGCTGTGCACTGCCACCTGCCCGCGGCTAAGCACAATGTGTGCTCGCATTGGATGAGCCCTGCTGATGGACCTGCGTCGCCTTAGCTGCACGAGAGCAATGCCGCAGGCGGCGGCCGTGGCATACACTGCGAGCACACTCGGTGCAGCTGCAAGGTGCAGCAAGAGCACGTCGTTCCTGCCTCTGATGCCACTCTCGCGGCTTGTAGCGCGTCACTCGCGCATGCTCTCCAGGAGCTATGGCGGGCGCGTGTGTGGGGCTGTAGCCTGTGTTTGGCCGGTTCTGACCCGTTTACTATCAGTACCATGCCTGGGCCACAATAATCGCACACGGGGAGCGGCTCAGGGACCCAGTAAGCCGCGGAATCGCCAAATGTCACAACCCGGCTCACCCAGGGCTGGACCTAGTCTGTGTGCCAGGAGAAAAAGGCGGGTCCCGCTGCGCACGTGCCCACCCTTGTGCAGATAATGGAGTGCCCACACTGCTACGAGCAGGTCCGAGATCGAAGTACGAAGATCGAACTCTGGGGAGAAATATCGGGAGAGACCCGGGCGATCATCCCCACGAGAAGCCCACGAGACTGGCCAGCAGCGCGTTGTACGGCGCGAAGAGGTCGTCGTATGCAGCGGCGTCGGCCTTCATTGCGTCGCGCGAGCGGTTGTACAGGGCCCGCTCCTCGTCGCTGATGATGCTGTACGTGCTCGGCGCGCGGCGGCGGCCTGCCTTTGCGGCGCTCGCCGAACAGCGTCCGCTCTGGCTCGCGGCGAGGACGAGGTCGTCGCCCGCGTACAAGCCTGCTCACAGCTTTCTCTTCTTCAGCTTTCTTTGGCACGGCTGTGAACAAGTCGCCGCGCACGGGCAAGCCGGTGAAACGGCCGATCAGCCTGAGGAGGGCGGCCGCGTCCATCTGCATCAAGTCCTCGTACCGGAGGAAGAGGAACTGGCGCCGCTCGAAGTGGCGCAGAGCGTGCAGCACGCACACACCGTACAGCGACGTGTGCGGGTAGTTTAGCGCGCCGCCCGAGGCCCAGCAGCGGGAGAGGTACGCAGCCAGCTCCTAGCGACGCTCCGAGAAGGGCTCAAGAGGAGCAAGCTCAAGTGGAGCAAGAGGGGGGAGGGGCACTCGGCCGGCTCCTCTTCTGGCGGCGAGCAGAGATAACCTCGCGTGATCTCCGATGATCTCGGCTGATCTCGGCTGATCTCGCTCCTCGGTCGGCAGCGAGCGGAGCAGCTCCGTCTCGCGCCACAAGCTCTCGTTGCAGTCTCGCAGCTGCGCCGCCTTGCTGGCAAAGGCGGGCCCAAAGTCGGCGATCGGCTCCCAAGTCCACTGTAGTGCAAACATGGCCCACTCCGAGAAGGCTCGCGCGGCCGGCTCGCGCATCGCAACGATGAAACGCAGCGCGGACGGGTCGGCGGCGCTCGCCTTCAGCCTCGGCAGCGCTTCTGGGTCGCACAAGTAGTTTGGCGTGAAGTCGCCGACGAGCATCGGGTACTCGCCAGCAGCCGAGCGCGGCAGCGCCGAGTGCACGCAATGCAGGTCTCCCCTCCCCAGCCGCGCCAGCACCGCGCCCGCCTCCTCGCCGTAGCAGCCGTTGCTGGTCGGGCCGCCGCGGACGATGCGCGTGCACGCCGGGTGGCCGCCGGCACACACGCGGCTGAGTCGCTCCGTCAGATCCCGATGCAGCAGCACCCGGTCGCTCTCGCCGCCCTGCTCGCCCCGCGCCTCGCCCCTCGCCTCGCAGGCCGCCGCCGCCCGGCCGCAGCCGCGCCTGCGTGGCGTGCGTCCAGGCGTGACACGATAGAAAGAGCGCGATGTGATTGCAAGCGCCGTGGTGTGATTGCGATAGGCGGGTGTGTCTCGATTGAAGTGCGACGGAGGACGACAGCGTGGCACGAGCAGGAGGGCCCCGGGGACTGAGCATGTCGGTTGCGAGCGAAACTGGGGTGGCTACTTCCACCACACGCCTGCGGGCCGCACGCACCGCACGGCGCAGCCGCAGAAAACGCGGCTCCCACGCCTGCGAGCAAGTTCCGAGAAGGTTCCGCGAAGCCTCCCCGAAGCAGCCGTGGGGAGCGTTTCCCCCGCACCCACAGGGGAGGCTCGCCCGGCAGCGCGCCGCGAGCCATGTCGGGACCGGCGAGGGTGCGCAGGTCGCGCCGGAAGCGGCGCTGCCGCGAGCCTCCAAAGTAGAAGGTTTCTTTCAGCGGGCTGAGCTGCAGCTCGCGCCGTACAATCGCGGCGGCCTGTTCACACAATGGGACACACGTCACCCGAGTCACCCCATGCCTCCAGCTCCACCTCCCTTCGGGTGTGCGAGGCGGCCGTCAGCGGAGGAAGAAGGAAGGTGCGATTGCAGCGGTGCACGCCCCAGCCGCTTGCGTCGGCGCCGCAGCCTGCGCGGCGCGGCGCAAACGCGTCCAAGAAGCAGTTGTAAAGCCAGGTCGTCGCACTCTTTGGGAAGCCCGGCAGAAAGAGCGTCGGAAGCACCGGCGAGCGCCGCCCGCCCTCCGACTGACCTTCGCCTTGAGAGGTCGAGCCTCGAGGCGCGGCAGCGACTCCGGGCGTGTCGAGGACATAGTCGGGCAGTCTCAGGCCGCGGCACCAGTCACGCTCGCCTTCGCATGTCGGGTCCACCAATAGCCTGTGCCGACGTGCGCCGGTGGCCGGCCCAGCGGCGGCGGCCCTCCGTGGTGCGGTGGAGGGCGCGGCGAGCACCTGTCGCAGCGTCAGCGGCGGCCGCCGCACCGCACCCGAGCCGTTTCCCACGTCGAGGCACAGGGTAGCGGCCTGGCTGCCGTCAAGGCGAACCAAGAGGCACTCTGGCTTGCGCTCGGTTGCAGGCCGCGTCCGCAGCGCCGTCGCCTCCAGCCCACGATGCGGGCCGGACGTGAAGAGCACGCGTGCGCCGGGCGGGAAAGGTAGGTCAAAGTCGGACAGCAGAGCGCCTGCCTCCATCGCCATCCCGCCTGTGTACACGTTTTTTTCTTTTTTGTTCTCGAGGCGCCCAGCGACGCGAGCCTGGCTGTTCTTCACCTTTCTACCTACCTACCTACCTACCTACGCGTGCCGGATGGAGTCCGGCCGCGGGTGACTAGGGAAGTTCGCTCAGGATGTGTGGCAGTCAGTTTGGCTGAGTGTCTTGTCTTGTGGTTCTGTGTGTCGCTCCTGTGTGACCGTCATCGCCCGTCTAGCGTCCACCCATACCGCGTTGGTGTCCCAGTCGTTGGTCGGACTGTGTTTCGCCTTCCCATCAATCAATCAAAGGTGGATCTTATGGTGTGGCCGCGTTGTTTTTAACTTCCGGTATCCGGGCTCCAAACGCACCTCGTATGTGTGCGGTGCAGAAAGAAAGAAAGAAAACGGGATTCACAAATCCTACCCGTTCTGACTAACTGATGAGCATGCGCGACGTCGACATCGACACGAAGCCTCGGCAGACCGGGCAGGCCGTGTTGATCTTCACCTTCCCGCGGCTCGTCTCGACCTCGCTGTCGTCGTTGAGCCACTTGTGCAAGCAGCGGTAGTGGAAGAGGTTCTTGCAGCAGCGCGTGGCGCCCCAGCCGTTCGGGTCGCGAGGCTGCAGGCGCGCCTCGGGGTGCGAGCCAATGCGCAGCGATGGACATCTCGCTGCAGGCGCTCGCGGGGCCGTGAGTGGGGGTCCCCACTGCTGCCCCTCTGACTATACGTCTGTGGTGATGCCTTTCCCTGAGAACGCACACAACGCCTCGTGTGTAATGCCCTGTGTTCCGCGAGTGCGTGTGCCCCGTCGTCCATGCTAGGACGTGTGTAACACTGACTGACTGAATAGCACTTGCAGGAGTTCGTATACTTAAATACTACACCTCCTCTCCTATACTACCCTTGCTACCCTGGATCCCTCGTACAGATTCACTCACATGAAGCACAGTAGAGTACATCACGACGCCACCAGTGCCGCCTCCTTCTCCTTTTTGAGCTTTTTGTGCTTCTTGGTGTTGGACTTCTTCGATGCCACCTGCTCGGCCTCGTGCTCCTCAGCGGCACCAACGAGTCTTCCCGCCGTCTCCTCCCCAGCCGCCTCCACCCCGGCCTCCGCCTCCCCCCCGGCCTCCCCCCCCGCCCCTGCCTCCTCTCCCGCCGCGTGCGGCTCCACCAGTCCAAGCACGAGCTGCCCCACACCCGCCTCCTTGAGCAGCTTCGCCGCGTGCGAGTGGCCGTCCGCGCGCACGTCGTTGACGGTGAGTAGGCTAAGTCCCTCGCGCAGCTGCCCCGAGGCGATCGCTAGCCCGCCCTCGCGCACCACGCGGATCTGTGGCGGGCCCGAGTCGCCCTCTAGCGCGAGGCCAATCTTTGCGTCTGCTGTCTGCTTTGTCAGAGTGACGGTGAAACGCCGCCCGCGCGGGCTTTCAGAAGCGGGTTTCAGTTGACCGACTGATGCGCCCGCGTCAAGTGCCCTGTGATCGGCCGGCGCCAGCGGCTCAACTTCGGTAACTCCCTCCGTCGTGGCAGTGTGCAGCTCCTCAACCTCGGCGGCGACTGCGGCCTGCAGCCTTGCAAGCAGGTCCTTCTGCTTGCCCGTAGTCGGGAGTCCCCTCGCCGCCAGCTTGATCTTGACCTCCTTTGGCTTCAGCCGTCGCACCTCGTCCAGAGCCTCCTCCCGCGCGGCGGCCAGCTCGTTCCCACCCGCTCTCCCCTCGTCGCCCACCATCAGAGAGTCGCTCGCCACGCCCGCATGAAGCGGCTGCAGTGGCTGAGGCGGGTGCGGTTGTCGGTCGGCGGGGCCGGCTGTCCTGGGCGGAGCTGGTGTTGGACTGGCAAGGGCGGCCGCAAGCTCCCTGATTTCCGACCGACTGAACCGGATCGATTCGAAAGGGAGGCGGCCTCGCGGGTCGTGCATCTCAACAGCCGACCGGCGCAGCAGCTCAACTTGCTCGCCCAGCAGGGAGAAATTGCGGCCCGAATGCAGTATGTGGATGGTAGATGCGAGCGCGCGCGACTCAAGCGGTCGGAAGATGATGTCGGAGGCCTTCTCGGCCGGCAACACCCCATCTGAGACCAGCCGATCAACGTCCATGCGAGAGAGCTGCACCTTTCCACCCTCGAGCTCTTGGGCGCGAATGCCGCGGTCCTCCATCAGGGCAAGTACCGAGACCGCACCCACCTTTGCCTTTTGCCAATGCTGCGACGACTGCCGCTTCGGAGGCGACGCCAGGGCTGCGGCGATGCTGTGAATCGACGACTCCCGCTTAGCCGAGGCGGCCTCAGCATCCAGCTCGACGCCTGCCGCTCCGGACGTGATGTCGTTGGTCGCATCCGGCGGCTCGGCCTCTCCCTTCTTGTCGCTCTTCTTCTTCTTCTTCTTGGGCTTGCTCTCGGGCGGGGGGTCCTCGGCCATCGTGCGCCCTGGCTGGGTGGCCGACGTTTCGTTTTGCGATTTTTTCAATGAGGCGTATCTGAAACGTAAACCCTCGACCCCGCCGACATTCGCTCGCGTCGCGGCCGTCTCGCTCCTCTTCCACGCCTCGCTTGCGGTAGAGGGCATCCGCTTGTGGGCGCAAGAGCGCGGCTTCGAGCTGCCGGCGCCGCCAGAGGGCGAGAGCTGCGCCGTGCGGTGGCTGTGCTTTTCAGCCTTTTCACTGCTTGGAATGCCACCCCCCACCTCCTTGCTCTCCGCCTCGCTCACGCCTCTCTCGCCCTACACCTTCGCCGAAGTGCGTGGCGGCCGGCTGCGAGGCCGCGTCAACGCGACGACCGGCATGCGCTCCTTCCTCGGCATCCGCTACGCCGCCCCGCCGCTCGGCGACCTGCGGTGGCGCGAGCCGCTGCCCGAGCCGGGCTGGGCGGGCACTGCCGACGCGCTTGAGTATGGCAGCGTCTGTCTGCAGAACCCGCTCTTTGGCTGGAACAGCATCGAGAACCGCGGCAACATGAGCGAGGACTGCCTCTTTCTCAACGTCGTGGCGCCTCCGCCGCGGCCGCAGCCCTACCCGGTGATGGTTTACATCCACGCCGGCGAGTTCCACTTTGGGAGCGGCGCCGACCGAGAGTCGGACGTCCCTCACTTTGCGACCGATGTCATCCTCGTGAGCTTCAACTACCGTCTCGGCGTCTTTGGCTTCGCCGGCGCGGACGACCTGCGTGACCGCACGCCCTTCGGCGGCACGGGCAACTACGGCGTGCACGACCAGCGCGCGGCGCTGGGCTGGGTGCGATCGAGCATCGGCGCATTCGGCGGCGATGCTTCGAACGTGCTCGTGTGGGGCGAGTCCTCGGGCGGCACCTCGGTGGCGCTGCACCTCGTCTCGCCGCGCTCGCACGGCCTCTTCCACAAGGCGATCCTGCAGTCACCAGGAGTGACGCAGGTCAAGTCGCTGGCCGACGCGCAGCTCAACTACAGATACACCCTCGCCGCCCTCCTCTCCCGCGGCTCGCCCGGCTGCGTGTCTGGCGGAGGCTACGCCACCTTCCCGGAGACGCGGCTCAAGTCGTGGGGCGGCGGGGTGGTCGGCAGGGCGGCAAACGTCTCTCTCGCGCAGGCGCGCGCCGCGTGCGACGCTGCGGCGGCGTGCCGCGGCTTCACGCTCGAGCGGCGCGGCGAGAGCGGCGCTTTCAATGCGACGCTCCACGCGGCCGCGGCGCCCATCTTTGACGTGCGCGCGAGGGAGGGCGGCGCGGCCAGCCTTCCGGCGCCGTTCAGCTACCTCAAGGCGGCGAGGGAGGGGAGCGCCGGGGTGGAGTGCTTGCTGCGCGCGAGTGCGGCGGCGCTGGTCAACGTGCGCGGGCCTGTGTCTCGCCGCGGACAGACAGGAGGAGGCGGCGTCTCCGACCCGTGTCGGACGCTCTCCCCCGCAGGTGACCGACTATCTCCCTCGCGACGACAGCTTCGAGACGAACGGGTTCGCGCCGGTGGTGGACGGCCGAGACATGCGCACCACGCTCGTCGACCAGGTGGCCGAGGGACGCTTCAGCCACGGCGTGCCCGTCCTGCTCGGCTCCAACCTTGACGAGGGCACCATCTTCATGGAGCTATCGCCCCCCCTCCCGTGCGCAAACGCGAGCAACGCTTCATTCGCCGCGTGGGCCGAGGCCATGTTCGGCGTCGAGACGTCCGCCGCCGTGGTGGCCGCCTACCAGAAGCTGCGCGCGCCCTTGCCGCAGTGCAGCACTCACCGGCCGCCCCCCGGCGGGCGCACTGGGGGGGGAGGGGCGGCGGCGGCGGAGGGGGGAGGGGCGGCGGAGGAGCGGGTAGGGGTGGCGGCGGAGGCACGGGCGGCGGTGGAGGGGGGAGAGGAGGGTGAGGGTGAGGCGGCGGCGGGCAACCGTGTGGTCAAGGGCTACTACTACATGGCCGCGATGCGCAGCGCGGGCGACTACGCCATAACTTGCAGAGTGCGCCAGATGGCGAGGTAGGGACTCGCCGAGACTCGCCGAGATTCGACGAGGTTTGACGAGATTCGACCAGAGTAGCGGCAGCCCTGCTTTCCTCTGTGCACCTCCAAGCTGCCGACTGCCTCCTCCTCTGCTGTGCGAGGTCTCTCCGCCGGCGAAGGCACCGCGTCTTCGCCTACTACTTCACGCACACGCCCAACCGCTCCGTCAACTATGGCCAGCTGCAGAGCATCGGCGCTTTCCACGGCGCAGAGGTCCCCGTCCCTACGCACTTCGGAAGACTTCGGAAGACGCGTATTCCTCCGTATTCGGCTGTGTTCGGCGGGAACCACTGTCTTCGTGGCAGCGCACGAGGCAAATCTCCCACCCTCAGCTCCTGTATTGATCCTCTGCTATATCATCGCTGACTCTAGGTCCCCTTCGCCTTTTACGACGCCTTCGAGCTGTCCACACTGGACGAGCGCTCGCTCGCGGCGGACATGGGGTGCTACTGGAGGAACTTCGCCCACACCGGCGACCCGAACCGAGGCCCATCGCCCTGTGTGCGCGCCGCCGTGCCGCCCCGATGGCCAGAGCTCTCGGCGGCAGGCGGCGATCGCGCGACGACGCTGCGGCTCGACGTCGGCGCGGCGGGCGGAATCGCGCCGCTCGTCGGGCTCAAGGACAAACAGTGCGACGCCTTCCTGCCCGCGACTTCTTCTCCCTCTCGCTAGCCGCTGCGGGCGCCGCACCGCTGCCACCATATCCGGCCGCCGGCACATGCGGGTACGTTAGCTGTATGGAGAGTGTGTGCTGCGGGGTCGAGTTGGCAAGCCAGTTGGGCGCGATGGGAGGTTAGCTCGTGATCTCGATTGGCTGCAACTCCGCTCTCCGGTGTCCGGAAATGCGGGGTGGCGCGTTCACATTCGCTCGAGCTGTTAGCAATTACCCTTACCATGCGGAACCAGAAAGAGGGCGGAGAATACTCCTCCAGAGCTCAAGTGCTCAAAATAGAAAGATAAGACGGCTTGATCCCAGCGCGCAGCGGCACACGTCTACAGTACAACCCGGCGAGAGGGGGACTCACGGGGAAGAGACCGAACGGCCGGCCGGATTACTAGGACGCCGAGGCCCCGCACGGGGAAGAGTCCGAACGCCCGGCCGGGCAACTAGGTCATTAAGGCCCCGCCCCTCTCTCCACCCGGCCGTTCCAACGGCCAGGCCGTCGCTTAAGGCTGATTGGCTAGACGAGCGGTCTACCTCCAACGGGGCAGTCTGGATCACGGGGGATGACATCCTGCCTGCCGACACGTCGGGAGGAGGTGGTTGCTCCGCCGCCGGACCGCCCTCTCCACCACCCTCGCCCAGGGATCTACAATGCTGTCTTAAGGTCCGACCTGTGGGCTCTGCCTGCGCTCGGCACCGGGCACCGCCTCGGTATACAAAATGCGCCTGCGGGCGGACCCTCACAGATCAGATCAGATCAGATCAGTGAGAAGACGGCCAGAGGGAAACTTCGTGGATTGAGTAATTCTTGGCCGCTTTGTGTATCTCGAGACCTCGAGAGAAGGCCGCCCGCAGGCCGAGGGCCCAAGTCGAAGCTTTCTTTTGGCAGGAGCCCGCCGCGGCCGCTTCTACGCCGGCGAATCACCATCAAGCTGCTATACGGCCCCGGCATCGCCTCCCCGGGCTTAGCTCTCAGTCAAGATATTGTGCACATGAGTGGCCTCTACAATATACTCACTGACACTGAACCTCCCAGAGCTCGTCCCGGTCCGTCACGGCCATCCTCGTCCTCCGGCGGGCCCCCGGCCGCGGCGCGGTGCGGCGGCGTCACAAATCCGACCACAGAGCACCGGGACGCGGTCGGGCGATCTGAGGCCCAAGTAGGCGAATGCATTGCCCATCCAGGGCTATCACCTGGATCTATCAACAGGCGCCTGCGGCGCCGTGCTCAGGAGTTGGTTTTCACTCGCTCGAAATGTGTGCCTGAAAGGGTTAAAGTTGTGCGTCACGCTGCCCGGCGTTTCTCACTTTCCGGGACAGCCCCGCCCTTGCGAGGCAAGAAAGTGACGGCTACCCTGTACGCCCTGTTGTCTACGAGACCCCCTCTCGCCGACCGCCCATCCCCCCCATCCCCCCCCTCTCCAACGCGACGAGCCACTGACCGTTGCGCGTTGGCCCTCTGCCGTCCCTGCCCTGCGCCCCCCTGCCCTTCGCCGTCCCGCACAAACACACAGTCACACCCCACACGCACATACAAGCATTCAAGAAAAAAAAACCGGGTTCTGCCCTCAAAAGAAAAGAAAAAAGGAAAGGAGGAGACCAGCGGGGGAGACTCCCCGCCTATGCAACACCCCAGGAAGGGGCTGCCATCGCCGGAAGCTGTGCCTAAGCATAACTCCCAAACCCGCAGCGGCCCAGGGGGCCTTGGGGGCAGCCTGCCGGACCGCCGCCGCACGGGGCAAGCACCAGGAAATGAACGTAGTTGATGGATTGGGCTATCGTCCGTGCCTCCCTTCTCTTCGACTTCGTCAGAGTGGGACCTACGCCGCGCCGCCGTGCTGGGCATGGGGCGCGCCCGGTCCTCGGCGGAGCCACGCGCCCCGAGCGACCCAGGCGGCGAGTAGTTGTCCTAACCTCGGGCACGTAGTAGCCCGTGGTCAGCGCCCGCCCCCCGCCCGCCCCTACGTGAACAGCTCTGGCGGCGCCCGCGGCGCCTCGCCCCCCAGCTGCGGCTGAAGATTGCAAAGTTGCACCTCGCAATGATGGCCGAGTGCTCCTGTAGGAAGCGCTTGCGCTCGCTGCAAATCCGCCATCTCTCGCCGTCGGAGGACGCCTTGGCAATTTTGGTGGCGAAGTTGGTGGTGACCACGCCGCCGCCTCGCGCCCGATGCCGCCGCGTGTGCTCGACGCCCACGTCATGAAGTCGAAGTCGTTGGCCTCGCACGCCGCGGCTTTGGCCTTAAATTCGTCGCCTCGGCGTAGTCGGTGGCGAGGCGCTCGCCGCGCGCCAGCGGGCCCAGCATGCCGAAGTGCACCGCGGTGGTGCTCGTGCCGTTGAACACCGTGCAACGCGCCGATGTCGTCCAGTTGCCGAAGACGCCGTCGCCCGGCTGGTACGGGTTGCTCTTCGCGTCGTGTGGTCGCGACGGGTCCTTGCAGCCGAGCCGAGCCTCCACGAGTCTCGCCGAGGCGCTGAAGGCGCGAGCGATGTTCACGACGTGGGTGTTGAGCGAGGTGTGTCCGGTGGCTAACCAGCCGCCATAGTTGCACCCGTCCCAGTGCGTGCCGTTGAAGTGCTCGAAGAGTGACAGCGTGCGCGGCTCCTTTGCGTTGCCGATGGTGCATGGTGGGCACTCGGGTAGTCTCGAGCGGTGGTAGATGCACCTCGTCGTATCGCCCATGCCGGTGCAGCGCGTGTCGAGGGTGATGGCACCCTTGGGATGGTTGAGGTGGCCCTGCGCCTCGTAGAGCCACGCCTGGTCGTGCAGCTCGACGGTGGGGCCGATCAGGTCGATGCCCAGCACCGCGCCCCCGCCCCGATCTGTTTCGCCGCATGGAAGTGCGCGCGCGTCGCTGCGGGCACCGACGGGTCGCTGACGATGGCGTCGGACATGTCCTGGCTGTAGGGCGTCGTTGGAAGTGACGTGCTGGAAGTGACGTCCCAAGATCAGCTCGATCCCCTCGTAGTTGATCGTGCCGTCGTCCGCGACGATCTTGCCGCGGATGAATCTCCACTCGTCGGCCTCGTCGTCCGGGCCCTTCTTGAAGCCCGCCGATCACGAGCATCTCGATGAACGCAACCGCCTCCGTGAGCAGCGGCACGCCGGACGCTGCCCAGCCGCTCGGCGGCGGCACCATCGGCGACACGTCCTCGAGCCGCCGCATCAGACAGAGGACGTCGATCACGCGCTCGGTCGAGGCGGCCGGTGCGACGAGCCGCGCCTTGAGATTTCGAGTTTATGAGGTTGACGCATGGGCGGCAACACTCCAACAGAGATTTCTGCTTCGATGTTATGAAACAAACGCAAGGCGGACATGTGAGCTAGACATCGATAGGTTAATAGAAAAAGCGAAGCACACTCTCAACACCGCACCGCACGCCGCGCCCTGGTTTTTTTATACCCGGCCAGTCAGACCGGAGCGACAGGTCCAGCCGGATGCCGACGCCGGAGCTGCACGTGGGATCCAAGGTGCGCGCACGCTTCGGCGCGACAGAGCACGGCGCGGTCGGCACCAAGTTCTTCCCAGGAACGGTCACAAAGCTGTATGGAGACGGCAGGGTGGACATCATGTATGACGACGGAGACGAGGAGGAGGGCGTGGATCCCAAGTGGATCAAAGACCACCAGACGCCCAAGGGCGGGGCCGGAGCTCGGGCCGAGTCGACTGGCGGCAAGTCAAAGTCGCCCGCCGAGGAAGCGCCGAAAAAGCGGCAGCGCACAGGCACTTCTTCCGCGAGCGACGCGAGCAGCCCTGAGGGCGCCGACGCCGACGCCGCGCGCCCCAGCGCCGTCAAGGCGGAGCCGCCGAAGCAGGTGTCGGCACCACGGGCGGCTCCGCCGTCGCCGCCGCCGCCTGCACGGGAGCCGCCCGCCGCAGTGCCACCGGCGGCGCTTCCATTGCAGGCCGCGCCGGCCGCGGGAAGGCGGGCGCCGCCGACCCTGCCCGTGTGCGAGCCGGGGGACCAGCCGGGGTGGTATCGAATCACCAAGCATTGCGTCATCGCGTCGGGCCAGCTGGACGCCCCGGAGCCGGGCGCAAAGTTCCGGGCGGAGCTGCCAGAGTGCAGGCACAAGGTGACCCTGACCTGGCCGCGCCAGACGCCGGCGCCTTCCGTCTTCAAGTTCAAGCTCGCGGAGTGCTCCAGGTGCAAGTCTGGGAGGTGAGCGGCGCGGGCCGCCACAAGCGCAGAACCGCTCTCTGCAACATCATGCCAGGCTCTTTCCGGGCTTCATGCGCCGCCAGGACTACGCGCAGCGCACGCGAGGGTTGCTGACCTGTAGTCGGCATGCAGTGAGAGCGCGCGGCCCAGCCCGGCGGGGATAGATCCGGCGGCCGTGATTAGTCCTTCATCATATTCAGTTGCGTGTCCAGGCGTGGCCATCCCCCGGCGCACTTGGGGGAGCTTTGAATTTTATCTTGTAAAAACGGTTTTCTTTCTCCCAATACGCCATACCCCCCCCCCAAATCTTGACATTACCCGGGTATGTAGAATAGATAGAATGATAGGGTAAGCCCACGTCCCCGGAAGAGCAGCGAACTTTGAACCCCGGAAAGCTCCCTAGAGCTCTACTTCTGAACACAACCCCTACTTCTGCCGCGCGCAGCGTTCACCGCCAATGATAATGCAGGAGGGGGTCGAACCAACATGTACCGAGTCGCAGCCAGGACCGTGTGCTTTGTGGCGGGGCTGGCAATGCTGTTGTTGGTCACCGAAGGAGGGTCGGCAGGCAGAACCCAATTACGCCCCACCGCAATCGCCCCACGCAACCGCCCCACCGCAACGCGGAGCCCGTACGCTTGCAACAGCTCGCTCGACTTTGGACCCGTCGAGAAAGCCGACTCGATAGGCCTGTGCATGGACGACACGACATTCAGCACCTGTCAGCTGCACCAGCACTGATTGTAAGCTTTATCATTGCGGCGCGCCGGCTGAAGCAGCGGGAGAATTTTACGAGCAAACTGTCTCGCGAAAGAAGAGAAGAAATCATGTAAATCGAAAGGGTCGTGAGAGGGGCACTTGGTGTGACAGAGAGAGAGAGTTCTTGATACGAAACCACGACGACACACACCAGTCGACTCGCATCGGTTGCCTCCATGAACGGCGGAGCTATTCTCGCGTCCACACCACACCTGGCTCCAACGTGGACACGCCCATAGCTGGGGACACTACTAGGTCACGCATGGCATCAGAAGTTTTATCTCTGGGCCCCGAAAGGCATCTCTAGCAGTGTCGTTACGCATGCGCCCTCCCCTCCTGGGCGCATACGCCTCACGTCTCGACAGAGCGTAAGCCCTTGGCGTGTGACGAGACGAGTTCTTCGCCATCGCAGCGAGCAGCACCCCACTCGCCGCAGCAGCCGGAGGCATTGCCGCAGCACTGTCTGCGCCGCAGTCCCGCACCCGTCGACGAAGCTCCCCCCTCTCTCTCTCTCTCTTGGTGTGACTAAATTCTTTCCCCGTGCCCAGGGTGGGATGAAAATTCTTTTGAAAGGACTGTCCCCCACTCGTTCTTTTGCAAAGGACTGTCCCCCTCGACCATCCATGGCAGGCATCACGGTCGGCGGCGCGCATCCGCTCTCTCTCACGTCGTGGGAGGCCGAGGCGAAGAATCCGGCCTCTCCTCCTCCACCACTCCAGTCCTCGATTGAATGGCGCGCTTGCACTTTCGCCGCCACAAGTCGACGCATCTCCACTGCTTTCGCGGACTCTTAGGTGCGTCGACTCGTGCAACGCGGCGATAGAATTCCTGTTTGGGATTCCGGCAAAGTGCCTGTTGGCGAGCCCCTTCACGTACGCCCCCTTGAAGGAGAAAGAAGAGGCGTCTGCTGTGAAGCCGGCGGTGCCAAAAGTGGCAAAACCAGGAAAGGGGTTCATCACGCGGCAGAGGACGGTGCGCCTATGTTACTCCACACCAGCTGGTCTGATCCTTCTCCGCCCAGTCGTATCGTTGCTCAGGTCCACTCTCTCTTCGGACACTTGTACCTCCACCCAGCGCCGGCATCATCGGCGGTATTGTGTCCGAAGATCACAATACCGGTCGCTATTCCTCGCCATTAGGCAAATGGCCTGCTGCTGACTGCGCTCGACGCCTAGAGCGGCCCCGCGTTCCTCGCGGCTCACATAGAGGCACAACGTCCCCGGCCATTGCATACTTGTCTCCGCGTGGGCAGCTCCTGGCTGGCATGCGCGCCCTCGCGCCGACAAGGCCCCGTGCGCACCCCAGGCTCCGTGACCGGGCGTGGCGCACAGAGCGCAGAGATTGTGTGCTCTGGTGCTCTATCTGGTGCCGCGCTGCTATTGCTCTGCTAAATGCTCGCGCACCCCTCACTGGCCTCGCGTCTGTACATCTCTTGTCCAATTTGTGATCAACTTGGCGGCTGCCGTGAGGAGGGCAGCAGGCGCGGCACAACGCTCATACGTCATAGTTTCGTACGGGTTGTAGCTTGAGTCTCTCCAGTCAGTGCGCCAGGAGGCAGAGGAACCGTGTGGTTGTTTCACTGTTGTCTGTGTGAACCCGAGCACTTGCGACTTGGAGCACTTGGTTGGGGAGCAGTGCAGTTGGCAACCGCACACCCAGCTCTTGGAGCACTCGTTGGAGTGCACTCCCTGGGTTAGTGCACCTTAGGCCGTTGCGGCATCCCCCCCGGAGGAGGCCGCCGCAATGCCTTCTTTAGGTACTGGAGGCTGGAGGCCGCTGCCTATATACTTGCTGGCTCCCAGCTCCCAATCAGCTTACGCAATGCCCCCAGTGGCACTACAAGCACGTCCACCCGCCATCGACGGTGTAGTTCTGTCCGGTGATGTATATGAGCCTGCATCGCTCGCGAGAAGGAGCATGCAGCCCTTGAGCTCATGAGGCTGCCCCATCCGCTTCATTGGAAGCTTTGTCTTCAGCCTTGTAATAAGAGCTGGTGGGGCGGTCGGCCCTTGGGAAAGCTCCAGGCGAGAGGCAGTTGACCCGGACACCATCCGCTGCCCAATAAGCAGCAAGATGCCGTGTCAGGTGAATTGTGCCTCCTTTCAGACTGTGGTATGACACAGGGCTGGAATAGGGGAGGCCTGCATAAGCATCTAGATAAGAAGCCACCTGCCCATACATGCTCACAATATTGATCACAGCGCCCTCAATTCCGCGCGAAACGACATGATTGCGCAAGCAGCGCGCGAGTACAAAATATCCCGCGTTGTTGGTTTGCTGCTTTGCGAAATCATTAAAGGTGGTTGCAATGTCAAGCTTCTTTCCCTGCGCAGCCTCAATGCCTTGCAGGCCGTTATAAATGAGAATATCCACTTTACCAGCGATTTTGAGCGCCTCCTCGAACCCAGCCATCAGCGAAGCCTCATCCATGTGGTCGAGCTCCACTCCATAATGCTTTGCACCCTTCGCCACCTGCAGCTTCGCAGCGGCTTCCTGGGCGCGCTTCCGATCGCGGGAAGAGACGATGACCGAGCAACCTGCCTCAGCTAGCCCCTCGCAGAACGCTGTACCCAGCCACCCCGTGCCACCGGTCACAATGCGACCTTACCCGTCAAATCAAAAAGAGCGGATACCGGCACGTCCTCCTTCGCGGGCCAGACTTCGCGGGTCGACGAGCTGCGCTTGCAACCCAAAAGGAAGGCCAGCGCCGCGCCCGCAACGGCGCCTGCCATCAGCAGCGGGGCATTGCCCACCAGAGCGTGCATGAAACTTTGGACCCTCACAGAAATACTAGAGGTAAAGGATTGTACGCCGAGCAGGATGGGGGGGGGGGGGGGGGGCTTAACAAGTTCCAGGTCAAGCACTACGGCGCGCCGGTCGTCGACGGCGCCGCGTGTTCCACCGACTACTCCATCGACGGCTTCGTGCGCAGGGCGGCGCAGGTCCACCGCGGACGAGGCGCTCGCGATGCTCAAGCAGGGCTCCTCCAACGCCCTGGTGCTCGAGATGCTGGCGGACGAGCTGCGCGAGCACCACGGGAGCACGAGTACACGGTCGCTGGCCGTCGCGGCGGCCAGCGAGGACGACGGCCTCGACGCCGGGGGCCGGATCAAGCTAGGAGCACCTGACCGTACGCTCCTCTCAGACGGCGGGTCCGACTCTGACTTCACCTTCCTGCTGAGCCTCCGACCGAACAACAGCGGGGCAGTGGGCGAGTTCGACTCGAAGCTGGTGCTCGCGCAGATCAAGAAGCTGGGCCTCAGCGCCGTCGCCGTCTCCCGCAAGCAGGCCAGAAGCAGGCGCACGCGAGCCACCCGTACTCGGGGTCTCCTCTCGCAGGCCTTCTTGCGCCAGTTTCAGGTGCTGATGCCGCCGCCGGTGCAGCGCGAGATGGGCGTCTTCGTCGAGGACGGCCAGTCGCTCCTCGACGCGATCTCAAGAGCGTCGCCACCCTCTCCGTGATCGGGCCGTGGCGGCCGCGCGCAAGGGCAAGAGAGCTATGTGGTGCTGGTGCGTGGTGGACTGGCGGTGGCGCCGGTGGCGGCCACGGCGTGACGTCATCGAATGCTTGTCTGTTTCTTTCTTTCTGACACTCCGTTCCTCTCGCGCTCCTCTCAGCCCAGCAGCCTCAGCACCCACGCGGCGAGCACGCACTTTAGCCGCTCGAACCCGTCCACGTCCGCCTCTGCAAAGCCGCCCTCGGCGGCAGCCTCGAGGCGGCCGGTCGCGGCGGCGGCGCAGCGGGAGCGGCGTGCGAGCGCGTCGCAGAGCGAGGAGAGGGCGCGCAGCTCGGGCCGCAGCCACGCGCCTGAGGAAAGGTTCGACGAAGCGTCAGGGAAGAGGTTCAGAATTGCTCCAGGCACAGCTGCGGCCACGCGCCCGGCGCGATCGACAGCTTCAAGTCTCCCATCTCTCCGTCCTCGACGTGCAGAGACCCGCTTGGCCGCAGCCGCAGCGCGCCAAACGCGCGGAGCAGCCGCGGGACGAGGGCGTCGCCGCCGTTGAGGAGCGCCTCGCGCGGGCACCGCCATGTGGCGAGCGCCCGCTCCGGCGCCGCCGCCTGCGCGCGCAGCAGCGCCGCGACTCCCAGCAGCACCGGCGCCTCGGCGAGCGAAGAGCCATCCGGCGCCGGTAGGTCGCGCAGCGCCTCGCGCGCGGCGCGCAAGTCGCCGCGGCTCTGCGTGCTGCCCGCCAGCTCGTCGAGCAGCTTTGCCAGCTGCCGCCGCCGCGCCGCCTCGGCGTCGGCGTGCACGCGCCGCCGGGCGCGGTTGCGGGCCGTGAGGAGGGCGTCGAGCGTGGGCTCGTCGGCGCGCATCGCGCCGTCGCTGCCTGGACCAGCGAAGCCGAGCGCGGAGAGGGCGCTCACCACCCACTCGGCGTCCCTCTCGTCGGGCCGCACGACGCCGCTCGCTGTCGAGGCCTCCGCCACGAGCTCCAGCAAGCGCGGCGCCGCCCCGTGCTGGCCGGACCACGTGGCGTGGCACACGTCCTCGAAGTGAGCTGGCCCACTGGCGGCCAGTGCAGCGGTGAGGATTGGCGTCATATGTATTAGTGTGCACAGCAGACCTGGCGAGTACGCACCCGGCGCGATTTTCTGATGTCTTGGAGGAGGTATAAAATGAACTCGGGGGCACGGGACGCGGCACAAACGGGGCACAAACGCCAGGCTACAAAGACGGGGAGGCACGTAGTGACGCAGGGGAGTCTAGGCGACGGCGGCGTCCTCCGACGCCGCGGCGAGCCTGAGCTCGGTCGCAATCTCTTCCGCCGCCGCGAGCTGCAGGCTGCAGCGCGACTGACATGCGCTGGGCCTGCAGCGACAGCCACGACCGCGTCGACCAGCTCGCCTCGTCCTCGTGCTGCCGCTTCGAGAGCTTGTTGCGCACCTTGTCCTTCATCTGGTAGAACAGACAGCCGTTTGACCGCGTTGCACCACCCGCCGAAGCCTTTCGAACAGGTTCAGGTACATCTGCACGTCGGTGTCCGAGCGCGAGAGGGCGTGCGCGTAGTCCGCCTTCTTGTACGCCAAATAGCCGCCGCCGTCGCTCGGCCTGAAGTCGCCGTCCCCGACAGCGCCGCGCTGCTGAGCTCGAGGCCGAAGACGTCCGCGCTCGTGCCGGGCTCGGTGTTGCCGAGGCCGACGAAAGCGCCTCGCTGGCCGACGTCCTCCGGGTTGGAGGAGAGCGAGTCCTTGAACTTGACGTCGCCGACGAGGCGCGAGCGCGAGCGGCCGGCGCCCGCCACCGAGACGTCGGGCCGGTAGTCGTTAGAGTAGCCGAGGTCGGGTCCCGCGGCTCCACCTCGACGAGCATGCCCCACACGCTCCGCATGACCTTGGCCAGGGCGGCGAGGAGGCTGTTATGGCGGCCGCAGTGCCCGAGGCGGCCGATGTTGCTGGCCGCGTCGCCCAGTGGGTCCTGCACCTTGCCGCCGCGCGCCGAGCAGGTCGGCGCGCCCCGCGCGAGCGCCTCGTCAAGTGGTAGCCCGAGGCGCCGCTGGACGGCGATGCGCAGCGCCCACGTCGGGATACGAAAGTCGCGGCGCGAGGGGACGGCGTTGAGGAAGGCGCCCGCCTGGTACTGGCTGACGGCGATGAAGCGCACCGCCTCCCGCCTAGCCACGCCCGGTAGCTACAACGCATTCCAAAAGCCGAGCCATGCTGCATGATGAATGATCTGGGAGTACATGTAGCGACGCTGTGCGCTTTGTAGATGCTCACTGCCAGAATCGGTCGGGGAGGCCGTCGGGGTGAAATCGGAAGTGTGCGAGGCCCTCCTTGCAGTAGTCGAAGACCTGGCGGTCGTACTGCTCGTAGGTCCTCGCCACGTAGTCGTAGTCATCGAGGAGGGTGCTGTGTGCGTCCTGCAGCTCGGTGAAGTGTCTTGGAGGAGAGAGAGAGTCTCACCAAGGAATTTTTCCATCTACATATCCTAATGAAGCGATCGCGCCTGGTCGCACACACACTAAATAGCGCAGAGAGAGAGAGAATTCTTGATACGAAACCACGACGACACACACCAGTCGACTCGCATCGGTTGCCTCCATGAACGGCGGAGCTATTCTCGCGTCCACACCACACCTGGCTCCAACGTGGACACGCCCATAGCTGGGGACACTACTAGGTCACGCATGGCATCAGAAGTTTTATCTCTGGGCCCCGAAAGGCATCTCTAGCAGTGTCGTTACGCATGCGCCCTCCCCTCCTGGGCGCATACGCCTCACGTCTCGACAGAGCGTAAGCCCTTGGCGTGTGACGAGACGAGTTCTTCGCCATCGCAGCGAGCAGCACCCCACTCGCCGCAGCAGCCGGAGGCATTGCCGCAGCACTGTCTGCGCCGCAGTCCCGCACCCGTCGACGAAGCTCCCCCCGCGGAAGACCGCGCGTAGCGACGCCTTGACGATCGAGATGAGCGCGCTTGAAGCTCGCCCACCTACTGCCCCTGAGAGTTGGTTACCGAGTGGGATCAGCTCCCCCCCTTGGGATCGAAGCCGCCACACCTCGCACCCAACATCCCAGGCGGGATCAGAGAGAGACTCCGCACCGGACACCGCCCGGGCACAGACCCCCTACCCGTCGGACTACGCCTGGACCCCTCACAGAGCAGCCCACGCACAGGTCACGCATCGGCAGATTTGACACCTGGTTCAGGCGTAGACAGCACACACTGGTCACAGTTGCATAGCCCTGCCGGGGGGGACGAGTTCGCAAGGTTAATATTAAAAGCATACAAAGTGGTGACAACCACTGAGTCCTCAGTGGACGAACGAGCGTCGACTGAACAGAATAGCGTCCCCGCGACGCCTCGGTGCCACCCACCGGGTGTGACCATCCGGATCAATCTGCCGCGTCCTCCGTACGCAGCAGTCCCCGCGATGGCCCACAGTCCTCCGCCACCAGGTTGAACCCCCTCCCCCCCCAGTCCTCGTACTCGACCAAGCCTCATCAGTTACTAATTCCACCCATTCCTCCCCTCCACCTCCCACCTCAGCAATCATTGTCCAATGTCACGCATGCCAGCATAACGGTGGTGCTTCTCGCGTTTCCGAGCCTTACTCCCTTGTCCTCGACTCACAACCTCACCACCTGTTGCTCCCGTCCTCCGCTCGCGGTACGTCCCCTCCCTCATAGGTCTCCCCAACCTCTCGTCTCCCGCCTCCACTGTCGTCCACCCCATGAACTTGTCGATCTCCTCGCTGCCCACGCCCTCGTTCCCCATGTACTCCAGCATAAGCTCGTCGTCCTCCTCAGCATAGCTCCCTCCTCCCACCATGTCGCCTCTCGACTCCGCTCCATCAATCCCACTCCGCCCACTGCTCCCCGCTGCCTCGCTATCACCTCCCCTCTCCACTTCCATCTGAACTTCTTCTCTCTGCTCACCACTGACCGACTGATTGACCGACTGACTCAAGTACTGATCGACTGAATGACTGCCTTGACCCCACCCTGAATCTGAAATCCTCGCTCCTCTGTCCACCTTAGCCTTCTTTCTGCCTGTCCTATGCCCAACCCTCCTCCACATCTCCACCTCCTCATCGCATCCGCTCGAGTCTGATTCCGAAAACTGTATTTGTTCGCTCTGATCCACCTCAGCTTGCCTCCTCTCCTCTCTCACCCGCCGATTGCTCTCCTCCAACGACCACTGAATCGCCTTCTCCTCCCGTTCCTCGCTCCGACGCAGCCATTTTTCCACCTTTCCAGTCCCCTCTCCACTCATATAGCGCCCGTCCAACCCGCTCACCATGTGCTTTTGCACTCTCTCTCTCTCTCTCTCTCTCTCTCTCTCTCTCTCTCTCTCTCTCTCTCTCACACTAAATAGCGCACTAAACTATCACTAAGTTCATTCACACGCACTAAATTTAGACCCAAATGAAGATCGCGCCGCCCTGCGCTCTTTCCTGAGCTGCACTCTCGCGCATGGTCTCTTTCTCCAAATTTGCCATGCTTGCGGCCATCGCGCCGTGCGCTGGTTTCCTGGTTGCGCCTGCCGTGCAGCCGTGGCGCGGCCACGCGGCCGCGATCGCGGCGCGGATGCAGCTGGACATTGAGCGCAAGACGGGCGACAACGTCGAGCAAATCAAAGACACAAAGCGGGACAAGGTGATGACCTTCAGCTACGACATGTCGCTCGACACGGGGTACGAGAAGCCGACGTACCCTGGCACGGGTAACGGCCTCGGCGGCGAGGGCCTGCAGGACGAGTACGACGTGGTCGTGATCGGCTCGGGCATGGGCGGCCTCGCTTGCGGCGCGCTGAGTGCAGAGTACGGCTCGCGCGTGGCGGTGATCGAGTCGCACATCAAGCCGGGCGGCTCGGCGCACACCTTCACGCGCGTGCACAAGGGCGGCAAGTACTCCTTCGAGGTTGGCCCCTCCATCTTTGAGGGCCTCAACGGGCCGTCCCTGAACCCGCTGCGCACCATTCTCGACATGCTCGGGGAGGCGCCGCTCCGCACCTGGGCCCCGGGCCAGGGCCACGCACAGACGCTCTCGCGATGCCGTCCGGAGACCTCCGGAACACCGGCTTTTGGGTCCTCCGTGCCCGCCGCTCCTCTTCCCACAGCCGCCATCTTCCAGCCGCTCCCCTTCGACCGCCCCCGCCCTCACCGCCGCCGCCGTCGCCACCGCCGCCGTCGCCCTCCCCGCCGCCACCACCGCGGCCATCACCACCGCCATTCTCCCCCACCGCCGCCACTCCCACCACCACCGCCGCCCTCACCACCCCCCTCGCCGCCACCTCTCCTGGTCTTCTCCCCCTTTCATTCTCCTCCGTCCCCGCCACCCTTCCCGCCTCCTCCAGTGTGGCTCCAGTCCCGCCTCCTCCAGTGTGGCTCCAGCGTGCTGTGCTCCAGGAGAGGAGTGCTCCAGCGGAGTGGCCCTCCCTTCGGCCGCAGGACCTCAAGTGCGAGACGTACAGCGGGCTCGGGTACTGGACGCCAGGCGAGCACGCACCGAGACACCCCGAGATTACCCGAGATTGCAATCTCCAGGCGAGCACGCGCGCCCGACACTCCCCCCCGCACCACCTGCCCCGCGGCGGAGCAGAGACGCCAAGGCACTCCGCCCAAAGGTCTTCAACCGCTTCCCCTTCGCTGCCTGCCGCCGCCCGCCGCCGCCGCGAGCTGGCTGGCGCTGCAAGCCCTCCCTCCCTCCCCCGTCGCAGAGGGATACTGGCGCTTCCCGATCGGCTCGGCCCAAAAGTTCGAGGACTTGGTCTATGAGAGGTGCGGGCCCGTCGAGGGCAAGAAGGCGGCGGAGGGGCGTGGGGTGCTCACAGGTCCACGTCCATGACCCGTCCACGAGTCTTCCACGACCCTTCCACAGGCGATGGACGAGTGGGACGCGCTGCGCAAGCGCCTCAAGCCGCTCGGCGCTGTGCACCAGCTGCTCGGTCCCGGCACACACCCGGCTCGGGCCTCGTCCCGCCTCCCGTAGGCGCCTCAAGACTCTCGGAGGCTCCACGACCGCCGTCTCGCTGGCGGACGCGACGCCGGGACCCGCGCTCGCTGTGGACAGCGTCTCGCCACGCCTCGGCGGCTGTGAGTAGGTCAACTTGAGGCAGGACGCGGGCATGCTGGCCACGACGGCGGGAGCCACGCCATACGTGCTCTCGCACCCTGACGTCCTCTTCCTCCTCCGCCGCTCGCTGTCCCGGCAGGAGGACGGCGCCTCTTCACGCGGGTCGGCTGAGGGTAGGTCTTCCTTGACTTGCCGCTCACCTTCGACTCGCTGCACAAGACCGTCGACCAGATCGTGACCGTGCCGTTCATCCGCAACTACATCGATACGATGTGCATCTTTTGCGGCTTCCCCGCAAAGGGGGCGATGACGGCGCAACCCCCCCGGCCACCCCGCCCCCGCCCCCGCCCCCCCCCCCCTCCTCCCCCCCCCTTTCCGCCCGCTCCTCTCGACACCTCCGACGAGACCCGCTCGGAACGCCCGCAGGCGCACATCCTCTACATCCTCGAGCGCTTCTTCGAGGACGGGTGCGCCTTTTGCGTCCCGCTCGGCGGCACTGTCGAGATGGCCTACGCCTTCCAGCGCGCGCTCGAGGCGAGATGAGCCGAGAGATCGCCGAGATCAGCCGAGAGGAGTCCCGACCCACTTCTTCCAGCGCCCGCTCGAGGCGCGCGGCGCGGTGCTGCTCTCTCGCTCGAGACACGTCCGTGCGCCTTTCCGGTGAGACGCCCCACGACGTGTCCGTCGCAGGCGCGCGGCGGCGAGCTCTCGCTCAACACGCACGTGGAGGAGCGCTGCGCTGTGACGTGGCGGACGCGTCCACGGCACGTCCATCACACGTCCATCACACTTGCTCGCGTGGCCCACAGGAGCTGCTGTACGACGAGGCGGAGCAGCGGTGCGCAGCAGGAGTAGCAGCAGTAGTAGCAGTAGCAGTAGTAGCAGTGGTGGTAGTAGCAGTAGTAGCAGTGGTGGTAGTAGCAGTGGTGGTAGTAGCAGTGGTGGTAGTGCGCGGGCGTCCAGCTGTGGACCTGATCAGCTCAGTGTTGACTCATGGCTCAGTGCCACTGCCCTGAAGGTGCGTCGGCGTCAGGCTCAAGAGCGGCAAAGTCATCAAGGCGAAGAAGGCGGTCGTCTCCAACGCGACCCCCTTCGACACCGTCCGCATGCTGCCCGACGGCGGCGACGCGCCGCAGCTGCCCGAGGGGGTGAGGGAGTGGAAGCAGACGCTCGGCAAGCTCCCGCGGCACGGCGCCATCATGCACCTCTTCCTCGCGATCGACGCGACCGACCTCGACCTCTCCCACATCGAGGACCCGGCGCACCTCGTCGTCCAGGACTGGGACCGCTCGCTGCAGGACTCGCAGGTGTGCTGTGACCCCGCACTGCCGCTCCCCCCCTCCCCCCCCCCGGCCGCCTCTCCCTCTCCCTGCCGCCTCTCTGCCTCCCTGCCGCCTCTCTGCCTCCCTGCCGCCTCTCTGCCTCCCTGCCGCCGCCTCCCCTTCCCCGCCGCCGCCCTCACCCCGCCGCCGCCCCTCGCAGAACCTCTGCTCCTTCTTCATCCCCCATATCTCACCCATATCTCCCCATATCTCGCAGAACCTCTGTTCCTTCTTCATCCCATCGCTGCGCGACCCGTCCGTCTGCCCGCCCGGCAAGCACTGCATCCACGTCTACTCCTCGGGCGGCGAGCCGTACGAGCCGTGGGAGAAGCTGGAGCCCGGCTCGGACGAGTACGAGCGGATGAAGGAGGAGCGATCGCAGGTGCTGTGGCGCGCCGTCGAGAGGCGCGCGCCCCCCCCCCCCCCTTTCCCCCTCTCCAGACGCGGCACTCGGAACCACTGGGACCAGTCTGGCGACCGGTCTGGCGCCGCAGCGTCTGCAGCCCCGCCCAACCCTCACGGGGCCGACTCCCCGGCCCCGGACCCCTCTCGGAACACCCTAATTCGTTGGGTGGGGTTTTTTTAAAAAAAAAAGACCGCGCTGCCGCTTTGATTACCCGTGCGCCTATCTCTCTGGTCGACCGCTATCTACCGGCTGCTCTCGCGCCTTGGAGGCTATCTTTATGCAGAGGG